GAGACGTGACTAGTAATGTGAACCTGTAGTCAAAGTGTCGCTATGGTAAAGAATTTTAAAGAGTGCATTTATTTTACTGTGGTTTATGTGGTATCGACGAAGCAGACTTCAATTCGATAAGTTTAAATGAAATGCAAGAAAAAATGCTTGTAATTTAATATTCCGTACAAGGAAGCCATGTGGTGTTTACATCACCTTCTTACTTCCTTGTCCGAAGAAAAAAGGAAGTATTGTACTCGCGAAAAGTTTCAGGCAGCATATTTTAACGAAAATATCCATTTTGACCGCTATCGAATGCAATTTAACGGTGTTTTTGCTTGACATCTGTACGTAAGGACAGAATAAAAAAACTCTTTTCCTCAAAAAAAAAAAAAAAAAAAAAAAAAAAAAAAAAAAAAAAAAAAATATATATATATATATATATATATATATATAAAACTGCTTTAAAATGAATTCTGAAGAGAATTTTTCGTGGCGTCTGTACGAACGTATGTACGTATCTCGTATATCTCAAAAACGAGTAGCCTCAGAACGTTGAAATTTGGTATATAGGACTGCTATTACATGTAGATGTGCACCTCGTATTTTGGTTGCAATCGACCCCACCAAAAGTATATAAATATGTATAAATATATCTATTCTGTTACTCGGCTCAGTGATCTGAGTTTCTTTATTCTTATATGTTTTGTGAATTGTGCATTTTTTGCTTTAATAATGGTTAAATTATGTTGTTCTTATCTTCCGGTTAAGGTTTTTATGCCTTTAGTAAATCTGTATGCAATATGTTTAGAATTATCAATAAATTTAACTTTCGGGTTGTGTGTTCTCCCATCAATAAAATTCCGAGTCCCATACTCAAGGACCCCATTCCGGATAAGAATTCCTGGGGTATTTATAAGATTCCTTGCCAGTGTGGTTTAATTTACATTGTCTAAACTAAGAGAACCTTAAAATTTCGCGTCAATGAACAGGAGGCATATGTTAGAAAAAAAAGAAACACGTAAGTCTTCTGTTGCTCAACGTTGTTGGTCCGAAAGTCACATTTTCAATTTTTCTGCTGCCAAAATTATTCAAAAAACATCTTTTATTGGAGAATTGGATTTTCTAGAGGCATTTCACATTCAAAGAAATCTTTCTGTTCTAGTTAACGATCGTAATTCCAATCCATCTTTGCCTTCGGCCTTTAAATAAATTATGTTTTAGTTATGGTTTCATCAACAGATGGCGCCACTTGCTTATTCCTGTCCAGGATTCTTATCTTATCTAGTCATTATTTCCTATCTTGTTCATTTGCGGTTTTGCAGCTGAGGATGGTGGTTCGGAAAGACCATCGAAACTAGTCCTGCGAAAATTTTGAAAATATAACGCTGATTTTTGTTGTTTGACTTCTGAATTAGTGTCTTAATTTGAAAGTTGTTTAAGTGCCGCTAAGCCTAATAATTTTTTTGATGGCGGCCATTGCTTGTTTACATTTGAAACAGCAGGATAGTGGATGTGTTGCCAATTTAGAGAAACTTAGCTTCGCAACAACAATGATAACGCCTTCATTTATTATTGCGAATTAAATCATGCTTAATCCTTTCTGGAATTTTTTCGAGGAAATAAGTATTTAAGATTTACTTCATACATTTTAATGCAGATATTTTGAGTTTTTGTGTATTTTTGCCTTATCGCAAAGTGAGACCTGAATTAATTGAATGAGAAATACTCAATCGTCTGTGAAAAAGTGCTTCTTTTTTGTTTTGTTTGCTTAATTTCTTTTATACATCGTTCTAGCTTTATTATAGTATTTAAATAGAACATGTGGCAACGATTAGATAATTCTTTAATTGATATAAATTTTGTGCATTCTGAGTTATAATATGGATGAACGTCTACTTTCGTAAGTATTAAGATATGCCTGCTCACGCAGCTGAATTTTCTTCGCCCACAGGCGTTGGTACTTCCCTAGTACCATTTATTTGGAAATATCTTTGCCTAGTGCACTTTAATGCGATCTACTGGCGAAAACTCTTTAGTAGTTAATGACCTGAAAAACTTAAGTCATGAGCCATAACTTATAGTGTGAACGAAATATAATACTGTTAAGTGAACCTAGCGCCAGAGTGTCGCTATGGTAAACAAATAGAGTGAATTTTAAAGAATGCATTTATTCTATTCTGGTTTATTCGCTGTCGGTGAAGTAGATTTAATTCAATCCAATAAGTTTAAATGAAATGTAAGAAAAAATGCGTATAATTTAATATTTCGTACAAGGAAGCCATGTGGTATTTACATCAGCTTTTTTTCATTTTACCTTTTAGTAAAATGCTTGCTGGAACATTGTTGAAATATCCAATTTCGGAAACTAAATCTTTCAAGTGATTTCTTCATTCTGTGATTAACGTTCAGCTATTTTGTTTTAATTTCCTAATTTTTTTTTTTTTTAGAATTTTCTGCTTGTAAATTGGTGTTTACTAAAAATTTTATCATTCATAGTGTGTACCGAAAAGCGGGAAAACGAAATTACAATTAAAACAAAAGGCTTTTATTTAGTATTTATTTAGTATTTTATTTAGTATTCTTTTATTTAAACTGGCTATTTTAATTAATGTACTAAAACGAGAAAAATATTTTTTTCTTGTAGTTTAATGGGATCGAATAATTCTATTCATAGAATTCATCTACAATACTGTATCGCGAACATTTAAAACGTAGGGCGCCTAAATAACGGAATTTATAAATTTAACTGCATCGCAAATGCCATGGTTTTTTTCAAGTTTTGTATTAATTTAATTCATTTTGCAAATATATAAACTATTATCTTTTATAATATTCATGGATTATTCCAAGCTTTTATTGTTCGCGACATAAAACTGTTGACAAATCCTGCACACAGAATTGTAATCTATTATTCCTTTTATATTATATGATAAATTAGTTTCTGCTTTCCGTTGTCATATTCATTTTAAATAAAAGTCTATTCTATAAAATATTTTTAATTGTATTTAATCTAATTTTTAATACAAAACAGTTTTTTACACAGGAATGCATTGGTTACGGTAACATATTTATTGACACTATTATCGTAAATTTTACTATAAGCAATAATATTATGAATATTCCTATAAAAAATTTAATAGATATTCAAAGGAACAACCACCCAGACGGTATAGTGGTGTAGGGATCCTCACTTTTATCTATTAACTAGGTGTTTCGGAACCTAGTGAACTACTAAGTGATTATTCGTTTGAGTCCAAAAATAGAAACGTAGACTCAAGAAGGGTTAATTACCCTTTATTCTTCAAAATAGAGATTAACAGATTGCCCTTTTTTCAGGACGTACAACAAAGCCTCAACTGGGGCTTAAAAATGTAAGAAATAAGAAATTAGCTAAAGACTAACAGAATAACTAAAGAGATTTAGCCGAAGCTGATCCAAATTCTAAACTAGTCCGACCGTAATATGAAATTAGCGAAGCTATCAAGGGCACGTAATATGGTCGAGCGTAGTAACAACTTAGAGACACGTAGCCCAAAGGCAAACGCGCGCTATTCAGGAATCATAATTCTCTCTGTAGAAGTCAGTGGAACTTCGACTTAAATACGACTCCTTCTCATTTGCATTTAAAGCAATTCTAAAAACTGATTCTGGTCAGCTGAAGATATCAGAGATGGGAAAGTCATATAAACTTAAAATAACTGTTATAAAATTAGGACAGTAGTTAGGGGAGCCAACTGCAACACCAAACACCAGGGTTTGAATCCCGCAGAATGCATGTTTGTAAGCAACTCTCAGTTCCTTCATAGAAGGCAAAGGTGGCCTACCCATTGTGACTTATGTTATTGTGATTTATCTCACTTGTCTGACAGAACTTTATTCTGACTTGTCAAGAACTTGTGTTGCTTGTTTTTGCGTAGAAACTCTAATTTAAATTGTAAGAATTGTTTTTAGTGCATAGGGGCTTTGTCACTGGAGGATTATTGTTTTCGTTTTGCGATTTTGCGTTGAGTCACTGTAAATGTCCGATTCACTTTTCAAACTGTTGCTACCCAATTTTAAAGTCCTACATTATATTTGAAGAAATTAAATAATGAAAAATCTGCATAAATGTATGTCTATTTCTCGCGTTGTGATAAAACAGCGGTACATAGAGCCATCGAATTTTGAATGACGTAATCCTCCTACGAATGTGGGCATGTGGAAGACCAAATTTGAAATTTAGAATTTGTTTTATTATTTACAAGAAGAAGCCCACGAATTTCATCGTGGCAAGGAGTAAAAGACTACGCCTGTTATTGGCCTTGAGCACCATACAGGTGACAGTATGACGTTTCTCAGTTCCGCCTCCAATTTTGAGGAAAGTACCCCAGCCGGACAGGTCCGAAAGTCTTCCACACCCTCTTTCCCTACAACCAATCTTTCGAGAGCACTTTTGGCTGGCCGAAGATTTAGATTGCCCTCATGCTGCAGAGATACTGCACATTTACAAACATCCATGCATTGCCCGGGATCCGAAACAGAGACCTTTCGCTGCGGCAGCCAATGTCACCAAACATTCTTCCTGTTCGGCGGCTCTAGAATTGGTCAAAAATAAAATGTTCCGTTACGTAAGGACGAGACAGTGAGAAGTCGCATGGTCCCCGCAGTAGCGCTCTGTTGCGCTTTCTCTAAGAACAATGCTTTGTTTCCAGAGCATCGCCCAGTTTAACAAGGTTCTATGTTCTCTTTGTGTCGAGAAATCTAAACTCTCTTTCATTTATTTACAGCTTTGCCTCGAATTAGCTGCCAATAAAAGGAGTCGATCATTTTGCCCAAGTTTCATTTATAAGGCATTTCTCCCGCCTTCTTAGCATGCCTTCGTGGTGTAATGGTCAGTACGCTCGGCACGTATTGGAGAGGTCCGTAGTTCTAGTCCCGGCAATGGCATTGTTCATTTTTAATCTCTCCTGCCTCGAAATACCTTAATGTATCTACACACTTTTGAGTGATGATGGATTCAAGAAGACATTTACGCTGTATTGGAAAAGGAAAACCTATTTAGTGTACAGCAATCAAAATTGTTTACAAAACATGCTCAATGCATTCAATTCAATACTCGTGTGCACATAAAATGAGTTTCTTCCGGTATCTACGTCATCCATTAGTTCTTTCAGGATTCCAAAAGTACCTCTTCGAGCAGCAGTTTTTGCGCCATGCTAATCTCCATGCTCGGGATATCTTTAACCATCGCTTGTCTCACCTGTCTGGGGCATGCTTCCGTCTTATCGAGAAAATCAACGCGACGGGCCATTTCTAGAATGGACGTCTTGACAATACTGCCGCATTGTCGTGAAGCACTATCAGCGGCACAGGTAACTGTGTAGGCTTCGTTCCTGAGAAAGAATAGCATATTAATCAAAACATAATCAAATATATTCTTTAATTATATTTCTCTCTACAGGTAATTCAGATGGATTTTACTGGAGGAATATTTCCTGTGTATGTCTTAAGTAATTTGCTATTACAGTAGCGGACCAGAAATCCGAAATGCCTGGGACAAAGGTTGTGCGGGTTTTATGTATTTTGCGAATTTTCCATCTCTTTCAAGACATGAAAGGTAAATCATAAGATATTTAGATTAAAACTTCAAAATGAATAAAGGCATTAAAGGCATACACAGATATTAAGGTCATATACAATATAGATATATGAAAATAAGGGACATCAATAAAGCATCACATATTTAATTTTTTTACGTGTTTCAAACATCAATCTTCTGAAGGAAGGTCTTCGAGAGGCTTCCTTCAAGGGATTAAAAGAAACCCGCCAGAATTAAAAAGTACTAACGGACAGCATATTTCACAAGTCACATCAGCGTGCCCACTGAGGGAGGGGTTTGGAAAATAGACCAATGACCTTCTATCTTTCTTGTGACGCTATCTTTTCATGCATGTGAGCGTAAATTTACGTTTTAATTTGCATTTGTTTCGCAGTTATAAATGTATGGCGTAATAGATGAAAATCTCGTAGTGCTTTTGTTTTCTGAGTTTAATTAATCGCTGACATTTCACTTTCGCGATTTTTATGACTCATTAATCTTTGGATTGATGTTTATAGCATATTATCGCTCCTTACATCGAAAAAATGACTTAAGCTACAATTAGCCTCGAATGTTATGCACTTACTAACACCTGTGGATTAAAAGAATTCAAGCTTATATATACATATTTTTAATTGAGCTGAGAAGGACTGGAAGTGTTACAATGAATCTAGTGGTTTTTTTTTTATTTCAGTGCTTGCATTCTTTGGTTTTTAAAGTGTAAGATTCAGAATACATATTGTGTTTGATCTGATTATATCCATTGGTAACATTAAAAGTTATATGTGAATAAATTGAATATATTCATTGTGAATAAGATAAATTCATTCTGTTTGATGAGTATTTCTTGTGAGCTCTCAGTTATTAAATGTGAAATTTATCTCACTAAATGAATACGAATGCAAATTAGTAAAGTTCACTTTGAATAAAATTCTGCATTGGCTATTGTTATAGAACATCGTTTTCATATAGACTGCAATAAAAAGTGCTGACTTTTATTTACATATATAATTGATGTAAATATTTTCTCACATGCATACGGTTATGTAAAGATAGCATTTGGGCTGGCTCAGATGTTTATGACATATTTCTTTCCTTATTTTATTTACCACTTATAATATTTCTCATGGATACTTTTGCGAAGTATCCAACATGTGTTTGTATTTATTTCAAATGTTTTCAACCAGGTAGTGAAATCTTCACAATTGCTTATATTTGATCTAACTTCGCAATGAACACTTTCAGAAGAAATCGACGATGGTTTTGTAAATAAGATTGCGTGACAAAATATTTTCAACCATCTTTCTTGAATCTTAAAGCACGCGAAAGGTCATGTGACATGATACAAATATTACTGGATTCCCATTGGTCCATCCTAGAAGCCACTCCCTCGGTTGCTACACAGATGTGCACATGGGACGTATGCTAACGGGCAAGCCCGCCCATGAGCGGATTGCAGCCAAAGCAAAATTTCTAAGTTCTATGTATCCCTGAAACGCAAATTTATGAAAACATTTCAGTACGAATGAAATCAGTTCATTCTTTCCAAGCAACCCACCAATCGTAAATATTTCTTTTTTATTGCCGAATCAGGAAACGAAAACTTTTGACACTTCAGGTTAATACGTGTGAGGTCATGATTTTGATTTGATGTAGTATAATAACATTTTCTCAATATCAATAAAAGAATCAACGTGGCAATAATGCATCGCGTCAGTAATACTAACCTGAAACCAAAACGATGTCAACAGCAGCTATTTAAGATGAACACATTTCGACATACTGCGACGTCACATGCAATCACCTGCTGTTTTTCAGTGTCAAAATATGACCTTATATAATAATAATAATATGTTTAATGTTTGGCAATGTTATTTCATATTTTGTAAAACTTACAAATTTTTTATTAATATAGTCTACGATTTGAAAGCGAAGAGTAGCAAAAAATAAAGCATTTTTATCTCCAAAGCGCAAGACTGTTGCAACTCCGAAAATCTGAGTCCGAAAATTAGCGCTTTCAGAGTTTTTAACTAATATCTCGACTGACTAATGTCATTCGAAGATGATAATGGTCGAAATGGCTTTCCGCGAGTTTTTAGAATCAGAAATAATATATTTAATGTTTGGCAATGCTATTTTTATTTCATATTTTGTATCACTTAAAATTTTTTATTAACATATTGTACTATTTGAGAGCGAACAATGGTAATAGTTTTCGAAATAAGCAGATTTTTGTATTCAGTTTTCGAGACTGTTGCCACTCGGAAAAATGAGTGCGAAAATTAATGTTTTCAAGGATTTTATTTAATATCTCGGCTGAAATCCCCGCCACAAACAAACAAAGAAACAGACAGACAGACGGGTATAGATTTTAATAGTATAGATTTAAAAAAAAATAGGCAGGAGCGGAAAACACTTGTAATAAGTCCTTTCCAAAGTGATTTTAAATAAATTTAGCTGAAGGGATTTTCCATATTGTGGACAAAGCATCTCCAAATTCGGTAACATGAAAAATGTAAAAAAGTGTGGTTTGCAAATACTTACATGCAAGAGAATTTCCTAAAATCTTCTTCAGCAGAGTCCTCATCGCCTGTTTTATCTAAGAAATCTATGTAAGCAAGAACGACTGCGATTATTTTTTCTGAACATTCTTCCGTCACGTTTTCTTTGATGCATCCTATATTCTTTACAATAGCTGTTTAATAAAGAAGTGCGATCAATGTACAGTCACTAATACGAAGAAAAATTAATCGATAAAAATTTCAAAAACTCATAACACATTTTAAGAGGAATGGAATTGCCAAATCGCGTAACTTTTAAATTGTATGATAAGACAGCGGTAAATTAAAGACGAGAAATGAAAACTGCCTTCATTTCAGTGTCGGAAAATAAATAATTGTAAATAAAGACGTTACCTTCATGAAGGTGAGAATCTTTGCGGCAGAGATCTTGTAGAAGCTCATAACGGGTAGTATACCATTGAACGCTCTCTGGGTGACATTTTGAGGCATGTTCCTGATTGCAACGAAACTGGTCGAGCAGAGCACTGAAAACAAAAAAGTACTCATAATTTAAATTTGACTTCATAAATATTTCGCGAAATGTTTATGAAGAACGATTAGCATATTTGAAAGTTATTGTATTTAATAATACCTTTATTTGTGTGATAGTTAAGGATTAGGATTAGGGTTATCTGGATCATTAACAAAGTTCAAAAGGCCGCACAGACGATATAGTGATTAGGGGAAACAGACTGCGGTACCGAAGGACCCGGGTTCGAATCCCGGAGAAGGCATGGATGTAAAATTGTCTGCCCCTTCATAGGAGGTAGCCGTGGCCGCCTATTAGGAGCCTCCACAATAACATTACCACCACTTCTGTCCTTAGTAGTGACCTATGCCGTTATACGCAAGTGCCCTGCCAATTAAGGTTACAAGAGTTATCTTTTTATCGTTTTATTATCTCAAGATTTTTAGTTTATTTAATTATGGCAAAAGACTCGAGGCTTTCTGCCTAAAGGGAGAGATGCTTTCCTAGAGGAATTTCTAAGGGAAACCGGGTCGTGTTAGACGTTACTCATGGGTAAAAGCATGAAAACGCTCATACAGCCAGCCCGTTCGCGGGTTTCGAATCTCGGTCCGAACTACCAGTATTCAGCGACTTTACCGCTTGGCCTCTGGTGGGCTGTGCACAATAGGAGACACGACGTCTTAGAGATTTTACGACAAACTGGCTATTGAAGTTTCACTGAGGGGGCAATTGTTATCTTTTACTATAAGACTGAGTAGAAAATTCAATAATATCAGCTGAACCCCTGGTGCAAATGCGAGAACGGGCTGAATGCACCAGCATTTTCAGGATTTTGCCCAGGTATAACGTGAGTAAAGCCAGTTCTTTTCTAAAAGTTCCCCACGAAAATATTCCTTCCTTGGCAATGATTTCTCGAGTGCTTTGTCGTGATTAAAATTCAACCATCAACTATCTGTAACAAAATATAAATATATCTTTTTTATATCTTGCATATTTCCCCTTCTTGAAAGAGAAAAAGGCTCTGGTCATTTTGTTTATCAAATCCCTTATATCTAAAACATACAAAATGACGCATAAAAATGTAATTTAGTAGTATAACAAAAACACAGTTCTATGTAATATTTAAACTAAATGTACGCTTCAATTTTAAAAGATTGTAAGTTTGATTTCTCTCAGTATATACACGCTGAAAAATTGTTCAAATGTTCTCTCCAAATACCATAAAAATTATCCTAAATTTTTCTAGAAATAATGATAAAGTTTCTCAGCTTCTGAAAATCATCGTTTCCTTCTGTGATATTCACAAGTCTCTTGAAAGTCGTTTACAGACTGTTGTATTTAATGCAAAACCTAAAATATTTCTTTTACGTATCCATAAAATTCTATATTTGTAGTTCGTATCCGTGAAATTCTACATTTGTGTTATATTGCTCATTATGAAATTATTCACACTTCTTAATGTAGAGCTATGTAATATGAGCTTTAGACATTACTAAAGAGAGAAAAAAACAACAGAATACAATAGAATAATAAAATAAACTTTGATAAAAAATGGCAGGTCAGCCTAACATCTTGCTGAAGGCTCTGGGACGCTTGAATACAGCAGCAAGTAAAAACCTTCGTTCCTAATGACAAGGTAACTGGATTTAAGCACTGTATGAATATATCAAAGTTATTAATTCTGAATTATGGTCAGAAATATTCTTTAATATTACATAATTGAAATATTAACATAAACATATAAACATTTAAATTTAAATTAAGGCAAATAGATTCAATATAGGTCTTACAAATTTAGTAAAAAAAATTTCACGTTACCTTACAATAATAATATAAAAAAACTTTAAATGTGTTTAGTTTAGCTAACTAAACACATTTAATGTTACTCTGTGCTAAACTACGACTAGGGGATTTTGACTTATGAAACATTCAGCCAATTCATATTGGTTTAGAATTTTTCCTATCCTCATCTCCGGGCTTTGGAAAAAGTTAACAACAATTTTCGAAAGGGAAGAAGAAAAGGCAGAATAAAGGGGGAAGACGAGAAGGAAAAAACGCTGAGATAGATTCAAAATCGTCAGTAAATTATCACAATCACGTTTGGAGGCTTGATCAGGTTAAAAAGTCTCATGCGGATTACAGATATTTTTAAACGTTTTAAAGTTATTTTAATACATAATTTGAAAAATAAAAATTAATTAATTAATTAAATTTTAGTATCAGCAGGTATTTTACTCTTCTAATGGTTAATTTAAATTCGTTTGCTGCATTAAAATATCTAAGCCTTGAAGAATTTCAGAATTCCTTTTAGTAAAGGATTTGGTTTATCTATTTCAAACGTAACTTCAGAATATTACTTTAAAACATTATAAGAGCGGGAAAAAGAGCCAGAAAGTTTTCTAGTTTTAGGATTGAAATTCCTCGTACATTACTAAATCAACAGGTTTGAAATTACTTGCTTTGAAATGGGTGTCGTAGCTTTCTTTGTTTAGATTACAGTAATAATAAGAACTTGAAGGAGAGTTTTGATAAATAGATCATATTGCAATTTTACGTATATTACATAAGATGGTGTGAAAATTAATACAGAATGTGGCGTACTATATTCTTCAGTAACATGAAGCAACAATTTTGTCCATGCAGCTAGAAATCCTTGTTAACATATCTGAATGTTCTACCTGATAATCAATCAGTTCTGGTAGAACCTTACATTTTATATTAAAATCACACATAGATAATTTTAAAGACCATTGAGTTAAGCTACCTGTAGAACGTTGTTATATCCTTATGCCAAACTAAAGTTATTGAATTACTTTCATATATCTATATATGGACAAAATACAATCATTGCACTAAAGTTTTATTATTTCACTTAAGTTTTCAATTCTTTGGATTATGTGCTCTTTGTTTAAAAGTAAAATTTGGATTTGAATTTTTCACTAAAGTTATATCATTTCACTCACGTTTTCAATCCTTTGAATAGAATTGTCTTTATTTAAGGTACAAAATTTTAATTAGAATTTGCTTTGTTCTTTTCTTGATTTGGGGAGGGGCCAGAATTTTCGGATGAACTATTATATTTAAAATACATTGAAATGGTTCATCAGCTGATTCTGGATACATAAAAGTAAAGATTTTTGTGGAAGAGAGATTTCAATTGATTTCTGCATTTTTCCTCCTGACGAATTAGCATTGAAGTTGATTGAAATCCCTTGCTATTTTGTTCTTTTTTCTTTAAATTTCATTGATTTTTTGAAGTGAGGTATTGCTTGTTTGGAGAGTTTTGGTTTTAACATGTATTATATTCTTTTATGCGTTTATAGGATTACTTGAAATTTATTACTTATGAATTTCAATTTTTGGTCTTTGTAAAAAATTGATTTAAAATTTCTTACTATATATATATATATATTTCTATGCGTGTGTGTGTGATTTTATGTGATTTCTGTAAATGTATATACTATTACAGAAATCATATAAAATAACGGATAAATTTATTATATGATGCAATTTATCTCCAAACCTGCCATACATTAATTCCTTTTTTTATGTGAGTTGATGTTCAAGTGTTAGGATCTTAGATCTTGAGATGATTTTTCAGAAAAGTATTTTATATAATGCTTAAGTTTAAATTATCTTTGAGATTTTAAGAGGATTGTAATTAAAACGAGATATTTTGGTAAGTAGAAATGTCTGTTACTGGGTCTGTTGAAAATTTTAGATACTATTGCTATGTTACCCTTTTCGTCTGCATTAAGCAAAGTATATATTAAAACTGTCCAGAAGTACAATAAAATAACACTGTTATTGAAATTTAAATGTGATTTCACTGCAGTGGAAAAAATGCTGAGAAATAAATTTGCATACTTACGGACATCTTTCGTCGAACTCCTTCTCGTTTCCTGGTAAACCAGAAGTCTTATCAACTTCACATGTTCTATAAGCACTCTTCTTGCAATAATCGTCCTCTTCTAGAGCTACCGGATGGGAGAGAATGAAACAAAAAAAAAGTGATTTGTATCATGTGTGGGTTGAAACTATTCTAGTCTTCAATAAACTATTCTAGCTTGCAGGTCTAGTCAGGGCAACTATTCTAATTTTCTTATATTTGGCTTCAAAACTCAAATACTCTTAGCTAGTAAAATAGCTTTCCATTTACAGACGAAGTTCATAAACATTTAAAAAAAACCTGATGTCTACATATTTCTGTAAATTATATACTATTACAGAAATCATATAAAATAACGGATAAATTTATTATACGATGCAATTTATCTCAAAACCTGCATTACATTAATTCCTTCTTTCATGTGAGTTGATGTTCAAGTGCTAGGTTCTTGGTCTTGAGATGATTTTTCAAAAAAAAAATTCAATTTTTTCCTCCTTCCAGCATGCCTTCTCGGTGTTTAGAACATTAGAGGCGTATTCAAGAGATCCAGGTTTCAGTTCCAGCGAGGGCATTGCTCGTTTTCACATTTCCTGCTTCGAAACAGTCTAATGATTATACAATGGCGCCGAACTAAAATGTGATGGATGATGATTCTTCGCCACCAAGATTTGGCGATTGGGTGATAATTGGTTTGGCGATAATCTCTAGTCACCCTTTAAAAGGGGGAGTATTTTCTCCCTCTTTTCTGCATGCCTTCTTGGTGTAAAGATGGCACACTTGGCACGTATCCGAGAGGTCCAGATTCATGCCCCGGCGAGGGCATTGCTCATTTTTCACGTCTCCAGCATAAAATTACCTAATGACTCTAGAGTGGTGCCGGAACTAAACAGGTGGTGGATGATGATTCTTCACCACCAGAATTTGGCGATTGGATCCCCTAATCCTCAGTCGCCGTTTAAAAGTGGGAGTATATAAGGTATTTTCTCCTTCTTTCAAGCATGCCTTCGTGGTGTAAAGGTGGCACATTCGGCGCGTACTCGAGGAGTCCAGACGAGGATATTGCATATTTTTCATGTCTTTCAGCATAAAAAAACCCTAATGACTCTATATAGTTATTGAGTATAAAATCTTTGACAACTGTATCAGTAAGATAATCAAAGTTAATTTTGAAAACGATTATGACTTGTAACATGCGTAAGGTTTAAATATTTTTATATAAGCTAAGAATTAGTTTTCTTCATATTGCTATCAGTCTTCAGTTCTCTTTGGCTCAGACATCCCACCCTCATTACGCTGTAGAGGGTTCAAGGAAACTCTACTGCAGTTTTCCCGATATCTCGTGGGCGAAAAAGACTTCTATGAATGATGCCGCAGGTATAAAACATTTCGCCGATAAACGCCATTTTCCTCAGGTATTTAAGCGAAATCGCAAAAAAAATTATTTTACTCGCCTTCAATGTATTTGGGAGACGCGATTAGCAACGTCACAGTGGAAAAGAGCTGTTGTTATACCAATATTAAAGAAAAGATGAAACTTTATACTGAGAGAGTTATTCATCATTATTCAAACATTCAGGTATGACCCGATCTCTCTTACAAATATTTTGGACAAAATGATGGAAAGAGTCATAGTCAAGAGATTGAACTGGTACCTTGAAGAAAATGGACTAATGGCGCCAGAACAGGCTGGATATTGCAAAATTCGCTCAACTAGTGATTCAGTTACCATGTTTAGCCATATCACTAAAGTTGCCCTAGATGAAAGGAATATTCTAACAGTAGTGTATATGGATTTTATACGGGCATGTGATACGGTACGGTGAGAAAAGCTTTGTAAGAATCTTGATATGGGAATTAACTCAAAGATGATAACATGGATAAGGTCCTTTACAGAACAAAGAATCTGTAAAGTTAAATATGGTAACTGCTATTCTAAATACTATGACTTACAAACTGGAATTCCACAGGAATCAGTAAGCAGCAGCACTCTAGTTCACATGGATATTAATAATGTAGTTGCTGCCCTAAAGAACACTGTAGGTTTCTACTGCTTGATATTGCTGATGACTGAGTCACCTGGGCTCAGGTACCAAATTTTTATGCAAAGCTCGTGACAGAGAAGCGACTGAATCATGCTATGACAGTGCTTTCAAATTGATGCGCTTAAAAAAATATGATGGTAAATTTGGATCAAACGTGCTTCTCAATGACCCTTCAGGTACTCTTCCCTGAAATGAAGTTTGAAAATGTTTGGATTGTAAATACTGTTAAATACTGAGGCATTATCTTTGATAACAAGTTGACTTAAAGCGGTTGAATCAAGCTGACAGTGCTTTCAAATTGGTGCACTGAAATTAATACGATGGTAAATTTATATCAAACATGCTTCTCACTGAGCCTTCAAGTACTCTGCCGTGAAATGAAGTTTAAAAATGCTTGCATTGTAAATACTGCTAAAATTAAATACTCAGGCATTATCTTTGAGAACAAGTTGACTTGGAGACTGCATGTAGTTTCACTTATAGAATGCTGTTATCGAAGGTTGAATACATTGAAACGCTTGGTTGGCTCTTGTGGGGAAGCGCAGGAGCAACTCTAAATATTACTTATAGGACATTCGTATTACCGTTGATTCGTATTCGTGTTACCTTTGTTGTGAACCACGCGTAACTGTAAATGAGCAAGTTCTCAAGAAATTGGAAATTCTTGAAAATCAAGCAATGAGATTTATTACTTGAGGCTTTAAATCTACCCCTACTAAAGCTATCCTAACAAAACATCTGTCAGTAAGAACTATTATTGAAGAGAAAGCTGATATCTTATATGAAGAGTTCCTCTGCACAGGAGATCCTGTCTGGATGAATTATCAGGACGCAATGAGAAAAATCAGGTTCCAGTGGGGCTTCCTACAAAAATTACGGAAATTAGGGATGGATGTGGTCTAATCGATCGAAAACAAGAGACTATGCAGACAGCAAACTCTTTTCCTATGTTCCAAATCGTGACTTACCTTGACTTGATTGATTCAGTCAACAAGAATGAAATATCTGTAGAGGTCTTGAAATGCCTTGTCCTGGAAACCGTTAATTCTAAATACCCGAACCATAACTGAGTGCGTGGTTTTACGGACGGGTCATTTGTGATGATTTAATATATGCATGTTCGGTTGTTTATTCTAACCCTTTTTCCTTCTATGCCTCTACTGGAGAAAACCGAAGTGCATTTGATGTTGAAGTGGGAGCTCTTAGAATTGCTCTGAAACAATTATTGGTCTTACTTTAAAAGTTCGAGACGTCTGTCCTGCTATTCAAGAGCAGCAGTTCAGACTATTGGCTCTTCAGGAACTGCAGAGGTCAACGGAAATTCTCCAGCAGACGTTTCTATCAAGAGAAATTCTTCAGTGTCTATAATTAATCCGAAGACTTTTGCAAAAAAGTAAGAAAATTAAAATACATTGGATCTCCGGACACAGCGGCATCTATGGAAATGAACAGGCAGATATCCGTTCACGAAAATGTGCATCACGATTGCAACCAACAAACTCAAATGTGTCATATCAAAGCTAAACATAAAACAGTCTATGAAACGAAACCATCGGTCGAAATTGTTGGACAGCATGAATACAAAACAGTAGAAGGCTGAAGATTTCGCATGCCTGCCAGAATATCCACGATGTAGTGCTTGTAGAGATATTAGGTTATTTCAAAGCAGGCGACATGAGCCTATCTTCATCGCTGTTGGGCATTTCTTGGTTATGACTTCGAGACTATCCGATATTGGCGTGCCAGAGACTATCTTAGCAATGAGTTTAGGCCACTTCTGTTATTTTCTGTGTTTAAACTTCTTGTTATATTTTGCCTTCCCATTAGAGATAAAAAATAAACCTTTTACTCTTCTGTATTAAAAAAAATGTTTTCCTATCTATAACACTTTAGATGTTTTCTAATTTATAGGAAGGATTTTACTGTATAACGCTGTTGCATAATACTTCCTCACAAGGGTTATTGAACCAAACTGAAGTTAGAAGGTAACTTGTATGATGTGAGATAGACTGATAATGAGTTATATGATTTACTCATTAAAAGTTTACAAAATGAGAAGTAGAACATCAAGTATGCATTCTATTTATTTAATATTACCTTTAAATAGAAATTAGGGATATTTAAACATGCAGATTTAAAAATTGCCCTTTTTGCTTGAGAATGCAGTGGGAAATCTGCAAGAGGTTTCGCTGTTTCTTTTTTATTCTAGGTACAGAAGCACTTCAGTTAAAGATATACATATTATTTTTTAAACAAATATTCTATCCATTATCAGTTCGACAATCACAGTGGACACAATATCCATTACAATTCTCTCAACTTTATGAATTATAATTTAGCACAAAATTAAGAATTATTCAGGAGATACAAATTTTTAATTAAATTTTTTCAGAAATAATAACTAATGGGAGATTATAATTTTCTTTAACGTTTTTGAGGAGAAAAACGTATTTAGCTTTATGAACTTTACGAAAATTTTTATTATTGTAAACTGAATTTTTTATCTGTTACTGTCTTATATGAAAGCAGTAAATGACGAACAAATGAATGCGCAAAATATACTATTATCCATATCAGTAATGTGAATATATCTTGGCTATTTAAATTTTTTTCACTACTTTCACTCTTGGGCATTTAATAATATTTTCCTTGCTTATTACAAATTTTAGTGATGTAAAAGATCTGTATATTCTAGTCAAGTAGTAATAATTTTAAGAGAACCAAGAAATCGAATTCATTTGTGTTAGGCCTTTTTAAGAGGAATGGACATTCGAATTCTCAAATCCTGGAAGTTTTAAAAATATTTTAAATTGAAAAACTATAATCAGGCATTAGCTCCATATAAAACAACTTACCGTAGAAGAGTATTGCAGTAATCAATTTTCGAAATGAGTGATATACCTTATCCAAGTTGGAAGATAGATCCAAAAGTATTGTTGTATGTCAGATATTCTCTAGAATAATGTTCAGTAATTTATAAAACTACTGAACATTATTCAGTAATTATTCGATAGCAAGAGAAGAAATGCATAATACATGCTTTATAATAAAGTATGCGACTGAAGTGATCTAGAGACTTTTAAAACTTATAAGGTATTTCTCCCACTTCCCTAGCGTGCCTTCGTGGTGTAACGGTAGCACGCTGGGCTGGTATTCCAGAGGTCCGTGGTTTGAATCCCGGCGAAGGCGGTTGCATATTTTTCATCTTTTCTGCTTCCAATTAACCTAATGGCTCTACAAACTTTTTAAACTTTTCATGTTTTAATTGCTCGTTCTAATTCAGAGAACACTAGACTTTTATTGACATTTCGCTAATTCTTCCTTAGTTTAGTTGCACAGGCTCTTCAGTTACACAATGCAATTTTTGTTTTAGATTTTCTATGTTACCATTTTTATAAAAACAGACACAAAAACCTCCCACATAATAATATAGGTTTAGCAAATAACGTATGCCTTACCTGCAGAAGCGATGACGAAAGCCGATACAATAAAAATCCACATTTGGGTTTCAAAGTCGATGAGAGAGTAAAATAACCCGAAAAGAGCCTGAGAGCTTTATGTTTGAGTAACATTAAGATGATTAGTTTTTTACGCATATGCAATTAAGTTGCTGATAGAAGTAATCTATTTCCTCCAAGGCCTCCTTGATTTCCGGATATTCAGATAATATCCCACGTTCAGCTATCCGTTCTGTAGTAACTCTTGGTACCATAATTATCGTTTGGATGAGACTAAGGTTTTGTCTTTGTTTTTCTTCCATCTCATAGTACAGGCCAGCTATTTGTAAACGTAATTTAATGAAATATGTTGTATTTTTAACTTCTTCTTCTGAAAAAGAAAATTTCGATTTAAAAGTGCACTAAAAGAGAAAATATTTTTGTCCGGTGTGCATTATTTAAAGCTTTGAATTTTTAGAGATGGCGAGAAAAATGTAGCATTCTGGCATGCAAGTCAACTTACTATCCAAATGCAGAGTATATTAGAACTTTTAAGGTCCCTGAAGATGAACCACTGTGTAAAACACGGATTAGTAAAATTAATAGGAAAGACTGTGCCAGAATCCTGTACCTATGTGTTCATTTTGCATTTTGATGAGCGTTTTGTCATAAGAGACGGTAAAGAAACACTGTAAGGATTTTAAGTTTTACTAACATTTATTTTATTTTAAAACTTTGCTGTCCTCTCTTAGTTTCCACTTCTGGCCTGAATAAACGCGAACAGATTTGATTAAGAAAATTGAGCTTGAAAACTGTTAAGTATTTATATGGTTATGGCTTTTAGGCAAAGGAGAGAGTTAGAGAGAGACTTCTCGCTGCCTTACTCCGCCCGTGCTTTTCAGTCAGTTCCTGTCTGCCTTTAAGGCCAGAACTATCTTTGATACTGGAAGACGTATTGTATTTTCTTGCATTCTGCTCACTACATATGTAGAGTTAAAAAGGCCAGTCTTCGCGCTTATAGTCTTTGTAAAAAGGCCAGTCTTCGCGGTACTAGTCTTTGTAAAGTATCTAAGTTTAGTTCTTATTTAGTTTACTTTTATTTCTTATTTTATACGTTTGAGACCATAAGTGCTGGTCTTTGTATCCCGAAGTGTGGGATCGGCTGTACTCTGTGAGAAATAAAGGGTAATTTAAGCCTTCTCATCTTTGTCCTACCTTCTACACACACATGAGCCTAGTTCCAGTAAGTTATCTGCTCCCATTTAGGATTTGCAGATGTTTACGAAGACTGTTAGAAGGAACAGTAGTCCTGACAACACGACCTAATGGTACAGCATTAACACTTCAAAGAATAGTGCCAAGTGTATCAAAAGATGCATATCCGACTATTTTTTTATGGTCACTCTAAATAGTTATCTTGTCTTTTGCCAGAAAAGCGAAAACCACCAGAAGACAGGACAAGAGAAATAAAGGAACGGTGTGAAAGTAATTTAAAAGAACTGTGTACTGCAGACCACATTGCCTCCTTTTCAGAATTTTTAAACTTTACAGTAATAAATTATCAAATGCATGGGCAATAACGAAAGCCTCTGATTATGTATTTTGTTTTTCGTATTGAGATGGCCCAGCAGCCTCCTGACCGTTATAGTGGTTAGCGTCGCTTATTGCCATGTCGAAGAGCTCGGGTCCGAATCTTGGATAAGGCATGGATGTTTATAAATGTAGAGCTTCCGAGCGGAATGGGGGCACTCTATGCGGCATGCCGAAAGTCCGCTCCAGAGGTTGGTGGTAGGGAAAAAAGGGGAGGGAGACACTCGGAACTGAGCTAAATCGCACTATCACCCGTAAGATGTTCAAGGCCGTTGTTGCCAACCGCAGGCGTATCTTCCGCTTCTTGCCACGTGGAATTACGAAGGTTTTATTTATCATCAATTTCAAACATTTCATTGAATAATTATACTAAAGTTCTTAATGATCGGAAAAAAAATCAATCCTTATTAACACTCTAATTTAGTATTAGTAATCTGGAGGCTGCTGTTCAAGATGTTTCACTGAGTATATATTAATAAGGTTAAAAATCTACTACCTGTAGTTAGAACGTTCGTTCATAGCGTGTTACAAATATATTAGTTATGTTAGGCAAATTATTATTCCTTTATATTAACTTCCGTTTTGGAGATATTATGATTTTGGGAAGCAAGAGAGATTGAAAATTAGCAAAGCCTTCGCCGGGAATCGAACTGCGGACTTCTGGAATACCGGCCCAGCGTGCAGAACCACTATACCACGAAGGCACGCTAGGAAAGCGGGAGAAGTACTTATACCGTTAAATGTAATTTCTGAAATTTATGAAACAAATGTTTGGTTATGGAAATGAGCACTTCTTAAATTACTGCATATTACATTATATATCTTTCTATATGTGTATATGAATATCAAATGCAAAAGAATCGATATGTTTTGTATATTTATTGAGCACCGCCTGTAAATAAGCTTTAAAATTTTATAATATTCAATGATGAATAACTGGAGATTATTGTTTCTGTTTTGATATGCAGTCTGAAGTAATATGTATATTAGATTTTAATTTGTTTAATAATATAAGTGTATTTACTATTCTGGAAAACATTATATGTACAGGGAGCGGTGTTTCTGCATGCATTTGTGAATTCCAAAATAAGAAATTAGAATAATACGCATTGTATGTTATGAAGTTACATATAAAAACTAGCCTCAGATTTTGTATTCGTTTCATATGACTGAAAAACCTGTAAATCAAATTAAAAAAAATTTAGAATGCATTTGAATTGCTGTATTCCCAGATTAATTTAAAAGTCACATATTTTTAGCGTAAACAATTAAATATGCAAATTATAATAAATTTTGTCTGAGAAGCATAACTTCATCTGTCTGTCAATTCCTTTGACTAAACATGACGTATTAATAATTGCAACTTTCGAATTTCTGGATAATATTTTTTACATGAGATAACGAAAATATAATTTGATGTATTGCTTAGAAATAAGTGAAAATATTTAGTTTTGATTTCATTTTGAATGCCAATCACATTGTGTTTAAAATTATTTGATATAATATTCAATTTAATTGGTGTAGAACTATTTGATTTTGCAGCTTTAATGTTATTAAACTGCATATAACGGTATGTAACAAAGATATATTGTTGTAAAGAATGTTATTGATTAGCAAGCAAAAATTAATATTATTTGAGAAACTCTCCTCAGATGCAATCCTGCCGTCTAATTGTAAAAGATCAGTAATCAGTTCTTCAGTATTTTTTATTGATACTGCTTATAAGAAGAGAAAAATATATTTGTTGCTCATATACTACCGGAAAAAGAAAGCATGCTGACACTGTAGAGTCATTAGGTTAATCGGAAGCAGAAAAGATGTAAAATATGCAACCGCCTTCGCCGGGAATCGAACCACGGACCTCTAGAATACCAGCCCACCATGCAGATCCACTACACCCACGAAGGTTACGCTAGGGAAGTGGGAGAAATACCTTATATACTCCCCTTTTTAAAGGGCGACTAGGGTTTTAGGGGGACCTAGTCGCCAAATCCTGGGTGCGGAGAATGATCATCCACAACCCTTTTAGTTGTGGCGCCACTTGTAGAGTCATTAGGTTTATTGAAAGCAGAAAATTGAAAAATATGCAACCGCCTTCGCCGGGAATCGAACCACGGTCCTTTGGAATACCGGCCCAGAGTGCTACCGTTACACCACGAAGGTACGCTAGGGAAGTGGGTGAAATACCTTATAACCCATTATCATCTTGACTGACCGCGCTTGACTCTGACGTCAGCAAAGATTAGCTGCGGATTTCTCCCATCAAGATGCCTTGGTTCCACCCCCAGTTTTGAAGAAGAGTAACCCCGGTTGGCAGGTCCGAAAGTCTTCCCCACCCTCTTTCCGTACAATCAACCTCTCGAGAACACTTTCAGATGGCCACATATTTAGAGTGTGCCCATGCCGCAGAGATACTGTACACTTACAAACATCTATGCATTGTCCGAAATTTTAAACTGGGCCCTTCGTTGCGCCAGTTAGTGTCACTAAACACTATTCCTGTTCGGGGCTCTAGAATTTGTTCAGATAAGGAACCAAAAATAAAATGTTCCACTACGTAACGACGAGACAGTGAGACGTCACATGTCTCCTCAGCAGCACCCTCTTACTCTAAAAACAACGCTTTGTTTCGAGCGCATCGCCCAGTTCAGCAGGTTTAGCCTTGTTTTCTTTGTGTCGAGAAGGCTAAAGCTTTCTTTCATGGATTTAGAGCTTTGCCTCATATTATTAACTGCTAGTAAAAGACGTCGACCGTTTTTTACGCAAGTTTCACTTTTGAGTGATGATGGGATCAGGAAGACATTTAAGCTGTATTGAAAAAAGAAAAAGTTTTTAGTGTACAGCAAATTAAAATTGTTTACAAAAAGTACATTCAATTTCGTAATCATATGTTCATTATACATTCAATTTCGTAATCGTATGTTCTACAATATCAATTAATGCACGTGAAATGAGTTTCTTCTGGTATCTGCTTCATCCATTTCTTCTTTCAGATTTCCAAGAGTACTTCTTCGAGCAGCAGTTTTTGCTCCATGCTGATCTCCATATCTGGGATATTTTGAACCATCTCTTGTCTCACATTTCTAGGGCATCTTTCCGTCCTTTCGAGATAATTAATACGACGGGCCATTTCTAGAATGGAAGCCTTAACCATTCTGCCACATTTTCGTGAAGCACTATCAGCGGCGCAAGTAACGGAGTAGGCGTCGTACCTGAGAAAAAATAACATATTAATCAAAACATTATCAAGTATATTCTTAAATTATGTTTCTCTCTATTAGTAATTCAGATGAATTTTACTGGAGGAATATTTCCTCTGTATGTCTTAAATACTTTACTATTACAGCAGAGGGCCAGAAATCCGCAATACTTGGGGCAAAGGGTGTAGGGATTTTAAGATTTTGCGGATTTTCCATCAGTAGCAGAACAGAAAAGATAAACCGTAACATTTAGACTAAAAATGCAAAATAAATGAAACATTTGTTTTATTTTACAAATGCCAAACATTAGCCCTTAAGCCCTTAGTTCACGTGCTCTCCAATACTTTTTAACAATGTCTTCATATCGAGAAAGTGTAATAAATTTATTTAAATGTTAAAAAATCATAGGCTGATTGGAGTCAGACAAAATACTGTTTGGGAAACCCACCACTCGAATTCTGTAGAGGTGGTCTCACAACAGTCATGTCTGGTCAGACGTCTAAATAGATCTATTTCTGTCTTTCGTGGAAAACTGGGAATGAAAGTTGTCTCTTCCTCCAGAATCCTCCGACCACAGCACGTGCTGTCCTATCCACAGCACGTTGAATCATATCCTGCTTAAGAATTTTCTTAAGAGTCAGGTTAGCAAACAATTTAGTCGTATGAAATGAAAGCAGTCGATTAATGCGTTAAATTATGGAAGTTCCTTTATTAGGCAAAGTATCAGCTTTTTCATTTCCCATAATTCCACAGTGGGATGGAATCCATTGAAAAGAAATTCTGTGTGCCATTGCCTTAAACAAAAGGCCTACAATCTAAGATTCTTTGAGAACTATTTTGATTATTTAGTAGAGCTTGAAGCAGCGCACTTTTGGAATCAGACTGTAGAGACATTAGCATTTTTGAAAGCATGAGAGATGAAAAATATGCAACACCTTCGGCGGGAATCCAACCGCTGAGCTCTACACGCTGAGCGTGCAGACCACGAAGGCATGCCAAAAAGATGGGAGAAATACCTTTATAAGACAACATGACAGCCTAGAGTGGCTACGAATAGACAGTTGTTGAAAAGCCACAGTAATAGCTTTGATTTCAGCAATAACTTCTCATAGGCAGTAGTAAGAAGTCTCATTGCTAAGTCGAAACCGAAAAGCTCGCTATGGATACCTTCTGCAGCACCGCGCGTTCTCTCTAACATAGAGCCGTCAGTGTAGTCATGCAACCACTCATTTTGAATTTAGCGAATCCCAATAATTTCCATTGCAATAGATCTTAATTGTGAATCCATCATTTCGTTTTTAACAGCTCTTTGAATAAGATCAAGATTATTCAAATTCAAAAAGTCCAAGGGACAATGGGGAGGAGGTAAAATTAGATAATCTCCGCTCAACTCCAAAACATTATATTCTCTCTGAGTAGCCTGTATTAAGCCAATTTTAAGATTCCTAGAAATTTCCTTATTATAGTTCCTCCAAAAAGGGTTGTCGGACAAACGCACCAACTTCTGGTATAATAAGATCACTTTTCTCTTAATACAATCATGAACAGGTGCCAAACCGGTGAAAGGCTGCATGGCAAGAATAGGAGTAGACCTCTATGCCCCCAGTAATTATACGTAATGTTTGGTTCTGGAACGTTAACGCTTGGTTTGTAATGTTTATGCGTAACGCTTGATTCTGGGCTTCGAAGATCTGGACTACGTTCTCCGGGGCCGTGATGAGGACTTCGCTACAATGACCAATAATTGGTTGAATGTGTAATTTGTAAAGAGTCGCCAGTGTCTCTCTGTCACAGCCGCACCTTGAGCCAGCCAAACGTTTTAAGACAGAAAGTCTTCTTACAGATTTAATTTTTAAATGTTATACATGTTTCTTCCAATTTAAGCATGGATTGGGGATGCAACCAAGATATTTTATCAAATCGTTATGTTAAACATCTATACCCGTATATGTTACCTTCGGGGTAAAGGTCTGTTCAGAATGAAAAATTGGCGCGTGCTCTTATCCTGATTTATTCTAATACCATTTTTTTTGACTCCAATATTCCAGCTCTTATAGAGCACCATTTAAACCATCCTGCTTCTTTTTAAAAGCACTAATCCAGATAACTAAATCGTCGGGAGAAAGTGCAGAGTTCACCCACGGTTCCAGAGTCTTTGGTAAATCGTTAATAAAAACATTGAAAAGAATTGGCCTGATGACTGTTCCCTGTGAGATGCAAGTTTTGGACTGTTTAAATTTAGAAACGTCACAGCCATATCTAGCAGCAGCAACACGCTGTGATAAGAAATTCTTAATTCATAAAACCATCTTGCCATTTATTCCCAAATTCTGTAATTTTTGGATAGTACGTAGTCTCTACGCTTTATCATAAGCTGATTCAAAGTCTATGTATGTTGTCAGGGCAGACAAGCGATTGTCTAAAAATTCTTTAATGGCTTGACTAACATAAACACTTGTTGGACAGTGAAATGATACTATTTGAATCCAGTTTGTTTAGAAGACAATAGACTGTTATTCTCCAGAAACCAAGTTTTGTTGTGTAGAGAATTTGTCTGATCGCGTTATAAAAACTAGGTGAATGATTTTCTGATTTATGGAAATCTTAATTTTATTTGATTCTGAATTATTTATTTTAATGCTTTAATTTTGGGGAAAAACAGATGCTTCTGGGAATATTATTTAGTTTAAAGGATATTATTTATTTTTCTTTTATTTGCAATTTTTGTACAGGCTTTGATTCATTGTGAAAAGAAGCAGGGAAAGGGAGGCAATTTTGCTAAGTCATGATTTCGCGCGCTTTGTCCTTTAGAATGTTCTAGAAGAAATTTCATTGTGCAGTTGACCTTAGGACAGGAAGTACGTGACAGAAGGGTCAGAGGTTACCACTTCGATGTAAGTCATTCAGGTTTTGGCGATCGGAAGGTCCGATGGGCTAATTGAAGAGGGGCGCGCATGCGCGTTCGCCCTTATTTTCGCATTTGGGGTTGAAACGCAAATTTTGCCCAAATTAAGGGGGCGATAATTGAAGCCATAGTTGGAGCCCGCGTTTTGTGAAGGAGAGAAAATTCGAGTTTGAATCACGTTTCGGGCGGAACTTACTTTTGGACGTTACTCTTGAAACTTGCTCTGGGGTTGAGCGTTAGAAACGATGTAATTTACGTCGAGATGTGTTGCCCGCGGGGAGCGGCAAAGATGCTCCCCGGCCGCGTTTTGACTAAGAGGCGAGAGACTTTACTCACTTACTCTTGGAATCACTTACTGGGTGGACTTACTTACTTTTGGGCTAAGATTGTAACTTCGAGCTTGTTCTTGGGATGAGCGAGAGAAGGCGAGCTGTAATTGCCTAGAGAGATGTTTCCGGCCGGGAGCTGCAAACATGCTCCCCTGCCGCGTTCTGGTTAAAAGGCGAAATTGAACCCGGGCGAGTGACTTAAGACTTTCAGGATCCAGGCGGACAGCCGTGCTGGGCAGCAGTGCTCCTCTTTCTGATTTACAGAGTGAAAATTGCTTCGTCGTTATGAAAACCAGTTACCTGCCGTGTGTGTTTCGCCAATAGTGCCAGGACAGGACGATGTCCTCTGAAACTTCCATTTGCAACCATGGATATGCGACGCCGACGTCAACTCTTATTAGGATACGAGTTCTCCACTTCAAGATGTACACCACAAGATAAGTTTCTATTTTTTTTTTTTTTTTTGTGTTTGAACTTTAAGTAAGGTTTCAACGACTTCCTTGGAATGTAAAATAACAACGTCGAATCTTAAATTAATTCTCAGGCTTTTAATTGTTCCCTTTCCCCTTCTAAATTACCGAGACAAACCTTAAGGTCTTTATATGAATTAGGATGTAAAAATTTAAGTTGTTTGTGTAATCTTCCTTAGAACAGATGTGAATTGTAAATAATATGTTTTTCCTTAACCTCTTAGAAATTATAGAACGGGTACCCGTTAAATTAAAAGAGTCATGTAATAGATTTGCAAATCATGAATTTAGATGTAACAAAAAGTAAATGACAAATTGAAGAATTCCCCTGTGTCTAAAATAATTAAATTGAAAATGTAACACAAATAAGAAATTTGACTCTCTGATTAGGATAAGATTTAATTTTTATTGTGAGGAATTTGAATAAACTGATATTTAATCTGGAAACCTATTACTTATGTTTTCTTTATATCTGTTATGTGTTTTTCTTATATATATATATTGATCTTACATGTTGTTTACTCGATCCTCTCACGGCGCGGTCCCGGATGCATTTTCACAACGCAATGCATTAAAAATTCACTTATACGATCACTAAAAGTTTGGTAATTAGCAAACTCTTAATATTTTAGTTTCTCAGTGATTAGTTAGTAGATTTAGTTAGTTGCGATTTCATCTGTCTGTTTCTGTATTAGTTTTCCTCCCTAAGAGGAAGTCGTAACACAGCATTGGTGCCCATGATTTTTCGGCAAAGTATAGAAACAAAACATAGGTTTCTCTCTCAGAAACAGAACATAGGTCTCGCAACAGAACATTGGTGCCGCAGCTAGTTAACAGTTTTAAACTATCATCTTTTCCATTATCTTCGACAAATCACTATTCAATGCGATTAGGTCGATAGCTTTTTTTATTATCTGCAGGTTTTATCCTTTTTCAAAATAGGGATAATAATGGCTTTTTTCCACATCGTGGGTACATAGTATGTGTTCCAACTATGATTAAAAATACGTAGAAGGGACACTTGAGCATTATCCTAGATTTTTAATAAACTCTGGATGGGTATTATATGTGGCTAGACCTTTTCCTATCTTTAGATAATTAATATATTTTTCTAGTTCCAAAACATCAAAATTTCTTGTTCAAATCCCAAACTCCTATGGGAGTATTTGAACAATTTCTTCATCAGCTTTTGATCTCTCTTAAGTTCACCTCTCAAACGTTTATTAGAAGCATAAAAATTCATAAAAGCGTTAGAAATATCTTTGTCAAATTTTAAAGCCTTTCCTTTAAAAAATATTGGTGCCCTTTAAGAAAGAGGGGGGGGGTCGTCACGTTTCAATTTATTTACAAATTTAAAACCTTTAGCACTGTCTTTACGGTAGTAAATATTATTTAAAAAGTTTTGAAACTCTTGCGATTTCCTAAATTGATTTTTTTTTACGGAGCACTGCAGTATTCTTTCTCCAATTTCTGACATCTTCCGGGTTGTTAGAATTTTCAGCCTTAGTACGGGCCTGAAGAGACTGTTTCCTTAACAGAGTAAGTTAATCATTCCAGATGTGTTTGTAGTTGTGTTGTTTACCTCTAGATATCGAAAGCTTATCCACTGTTGAAATGGTCTTGAAAAAATACGACAAGGTGGAATCTACATTTGTTTTCCTATATTTTGTTGGTTTACTAAGAACCTCCAATTCATCTCTGTAAGCCTTTAAATTGGCCTTCATAAAATTCCATTCTTAAAATAATACTATTGTTTAGATATTTTCCCATTGATTTGAAATGAAAAAACAAGAATGTGATGACCAGAACCAGGCTCATAAATTATTTCTCTGTTCGCCTCATCTGCTAAGTCACTTGAAGCCAAAGTTAAATAAGAGTTAGTACTACTTCCATTATAGTGAAGGTACGTAGGAGTGTCAGAATTTCTGTAGATCAGTTCGAGAGTATTGGAATCCAAGAGATCCTCCATAGCTCTTCCTGCACTGTTTATGGCTTATGATTCCAGAGTACACTATGTGCATTTAAATATCCACATAAAATTGTTTTATTAGAAAATTGAATGTTATCAAAATTTAACCAGGAATTGCCTGGTGGGCTGAAACAGTTAAAAGTTTTAAAATGGTTCTGATAAATCCAAACATCGACTCAGACCATCTCAGCCCCACTATCCGACGAAAAGTTACGAATAATTTTAAACATAAAAGTTAAATTGTTCTTAGTGCCAACTAAAATACAACTAGCATTAGTTTACCACTAGCATTACCACTAGTTTTAAGTAATAATTTCAAGTAAAAACCTGGGAATTTATATATAAATAAAACGTTAAGGACATATGAAAATAAGGGACATTAATAAAGCATCAAATATTTATTTTTTTACGTTTTTCAAACATTTTTCTGATAGAGGTTTATTTTTGAAACCATACGGTGCTCCAAAGTAAGTTTTTCGTGAATTATGTAGAGTCATAATCTATTGCACTGTGACACATATCTATTACTTTAAATATTTAAGATATTTTTCACCTTTTTCCGAACTTTTATTAAAAATATTTTCTCATTCCTATCTAATGCAATAAACAAACAGACAGACGCTCACAGATTTTAATAGTATAGATTAAAAAAAATAAAAGGTACTAGCGAAAAACACTTGAAGAAATCCTTTTCCAAAGTGATTTTGAATAAAATGTAACTGAAGGGATTTTTCCATAATGTGGACAGAAGATCTCCAATTTTCACGAAATGTAAGAAGTTAAAAAGGCCTGATTAGAAAATAGGAAGTATACTTACATGCATTCAACTTTCTTCCAATCTTCTTCAGCAAAGGGCTCAGCACCTGTTCCGTTTAAGGAATCTACGTAAGCATCGAGAACTGCGGATATTTTTTCTGAACATTCTTCCGTTACGCTGTCTTTGATGCATCCTATATTCTTTGCAATAGCTGTTTAATAGAGAAGTGCTATTAAACATTCATGCATTTTAATTTATATAATAATTGTAATCTTATGACTCAGTGTACAGTCACCAATACGAGGGAAAGTTAATCGATAAAAATTAAAAATAACTGAAAATATTTTTTAAGAGAAATCGAATTGCCAAATCGCATGACTTTTTAATCGTCTGATACGACAACGGTAAACTAAAGATGAAAAATGAAAACTCTCTTCATTTCGATGTTCAGAAATGAATAATTATAAATAAAAACATTACTTTCATGAAGGATCGAATCTTTGCGGCAGAGATCTTGCAGAAGCTCATAATGTGAAGTATACCATTGAAGCCTTTCTGCTTGACATTTTAAGGCATGTCCTGCATACAACGGAACTGCTCGAGTAGAATACTGAAAACAAAAGTGCTCATAATTTAAATTTGACAGATATTCTAATATTTTGCAAAATGTTTATGAAATACGATTTACATATACGAAAAACACTGTATAAAATTATTTATGCGATACTTTTATTACTTTACTTTTATTTATGTGATACCTAAAGATTATGATTAAGGTTATCTGGATCATGATAAAAAAGTTCACAAGGGTTATCTTTGCAAGAGTTTTTTTTTTATTTGATTAAGGTAAAGCATTCGAGGGCTTTCTGCCTAAAGGGATATATGCCTTCGTAGAGGTCTTTCTAAAGGAAACCGGCTCTAACTAGACGTTGCACATGGGTAAAAGCACGAAGACACTTAGGTAACCATCACGTTCGCGTGATTCGAATTTCGGACGGAACTACCAGTGTTCAGCGACTTTACCTCCCGGCCCCTGGTGGGCTGTGCACAATAGAAGACTCGGCATCGTAGAGATTTTACGAGAAACTCGCTATTAATGTTTCACGTGAGAGGTGGAACCCCGAAAACTCACATGCAGCCTACCCGTTCGTCAGGATTTTATCGAAGTGGAAATGTGTGTTCAGGGACCCGACCGGCAGATGATAAGTCACATGGTAATAAATTGCTAAATGTTTTTGCCATAGCAGACAACAGCGTTTCTTATTGCGATATTTAACAACAAACGAAAGAATAGTATTTTATAAAATGAGTGCAATATAAGAAATGTGATATAAATGAAAAACGTAAGTAAATAGTTGTAGAATGAATAGAATGTACTTGTTCTAAAATTCCCTCAGAAGTTCCAAGTCGGTAGAAACCATCTTCTGCCACACATGTAAACGCAACGCATTCATTTTATTTTAAATATATTTTCCCCGACTGGAAACGAGAGAGTATTTTGATGGAAGCCGATTTGAACGGTAATGTTTTTTGAAGTGCGTATGGTAATTTGTATTTTCAATTGTATTGTCTCAGTGATACGTAAGTAATGCGAGAATAAAGAGAATTATTAACATAAGTGAAGAATATTTCTTAAAAAAAAGTAAGTTAAGCTAACATTTCAGAAGTGGGATTAAGAAGAATTATTACCAAGGATTTAACAACGTATTGCCTTTATGTACGTTAAGCCTAAACTGAATGCGGAAGCTCGTCAGAACTGAAAGTAAAATAGTATGTGCATTTATAAGTTGTTTACATTATGTCTAAGTATTAAAATGAAAGAACTTAAGTATAATTATTGTGCTATTATTTGAAAATTGAAATCTAAGATGGCTTTTTTAGCAAGAGGCAAGAAATGCGACTTAAAAGGAACTTCCCTTCGAACTTGATGTAGATGTCCCTTTTGATATTAAAATTGTAGGCTTAAGGCATATGATTTTGAAAGTAAGAACTATAGCAAAGACTTTACTAAACAAATGCTATATAGAATTATAAATCATCGTTTAGACAGGGAAGAGTTAGAAAAGCAAAGGGCATTTGAACTCGAAAAGATGGAAATTTTATAAAAAGAAAAGTAAAGAAAACTTGAAATGGAAATTTTATAAAAAGAAAAGTAAAGAACACTTGAAATGAAAATTTTATTAAAAGAAAAGTAAAGAACACTGGAAATGGAAATTTTAGAAAAAGGTAAGCAAAGAACATTGAACTCGGAAAGCAACTATTATAATTAAAATACAATAAAATGGTTCGTCGGTAATTATGGATACAGGAAAGCAAAGATTTTTGTAGAAGAGAGATCGTTTCGTAATTATATATATATATATATATATATGTACTATCTTATCTCAAAGATTATTATCTTCTAGAATTTAAGAGGATTGCCATTAAAACTGAAAAATGTTGTATATCTGGTGAAATGTCTATTACTAAATATTTAGAAATAGAATATTTAGAATTATTTTGGTAATGTTAGATATTTTTTTGTCATTACCATTGCTATGTTACCCTTTTCCTCTGCGTTAAGGAAAAGCGTATGTTAAAACTACATAGCAGTACAATAAAATTCGAGTGTTATTGAAACTTTATAGTAGAAAATATGCTGAGAAATAAGTTTGTATACTTACGGACATGTCTCGTCGAACTCCTTCTCATTTTCTGGAAAACTGGAAGGCTTTTCAGCTTCACATATTCTATAAGCACCCTTCTTGCAATAATCATCCTCTACTAGAGCTACCGGATGGGTAAGAATTAAACAAAAAATTTAAGTGGTTTGTGTTATATGTGCATAGCAACTATTCAAGTTTGCTGTTCTAGTCTTCTACAAACTATTCTAGCTTGCATAATCTAGTCATGAGAACTATTCTTCTTATATTTTGCTTTAAAATTCTAATTCTCTTTGTAAGTAAAAGAGATTTTCATTTAGAGACGAAGTTCATGAACAGTTTTTTAAAAAAACTGATGCCTATATATATTTATACGGTATTTTCTCCGTCCTTCCATCATGCCTTCGTGGTGTAATGGTAAGCAAATTCGGCGCGTTTTAGAGAGGTCTAGATTTGTTATGTATTAATTGCTGTTAATTTCAAGCTTTAAGTTATTGTGCTTCTTATTCAGTTTTGATCAGTAACTGAAGTTATTAACTTTTTTTGCTTTAGTTTGTTTAAAGTTGGTTGTAAGTTTTAAGCTGTAAACATTTGGTAAATTTTAAATTTAAGTTGGAAGCTTTATCAGTTTTCTTTAGGTGAAATTGTTTAATTTTAAATTACTGTTTAGGAAGTTAAAGTTTTATTTTGGTTATGCAACTTTAATTATTTTGAAGTTTTGTTACTGCACCTATGGTGTGTTAATTTTAATTTTATTAAGGTAGCTTGAATTTTACCCCTGTTTCTATTAAAGTTTCTCGAATTCCATATTTTCTGACTGATGGTAAGGTTTTAATTGTAAAAGGAACTCAATTCTGAAATAAATACATATAATGATTTCTTCTAAAGAAACAATTTTTTATGTGTGTATTAAGTGAACTTAACTGTAAAATAATAGTTTTTTACAGTATTAAATTTGTTAATTGTGTTGAAAACTATTCATTGGTTCAGTAATTTTGCCATCCAAAATTGTCGGCTTGGAATTCCTTTTTGAATTTCTTACTTGGGGATTGCTGTGCCCCGAAATTCCTTTGCCAAGTAGTCACCATCTGAAAACAAATTAACCTCTACGTCGTCCGTAACGCGTTTAGGACGTTCAAGCGAAACTTCTGCAGGGCGGCCGTAACGCGCTTCAAGCGCTCTTCTACATTTTGAAACTTTTAAACGTTTAAAACGCTTTCTAAATGTTTAGTTATTTGAGTTATAATTTTTTTTTGTTCTAATACCTCCTAGAGGGCATCACTAATAAGGCATTCTATTTCTAATTGAATTTGACCTGCGTTTTATGAATATTCGCCCCATTTTACATAAGATACAAAACAGTGAGTGGCTTCAACGTCTACTCAGCAGAAAAAGAAAAAAAATGAGGTTGTGAATTAGAAAGACAAGAAGGATATACGTTTGATAAATACAATCCATAATAAGTCGATAATTGATGTTGGAACACGGAAAAGAACTGTAAGAAAACAGTAATTGTAAACGATTACAACAACAAAATGGGAGTAGTGGACCGCTTGGATCAGATGTTATCAAATTATCCTGCTGTTAGAAATAAGCAGAGATATTATTATTTTTCCATTATGCTTTATTTCCTTATAATTTTACTTAACATTCATTGACATTTATCCACTACGAAAGTTACGTATGGGAAGTTATGAGGTACAGAGTAAACAACATTACATGCTATGAAAAACAGACGGCCGTCTGTCCGTTAGGTTGCTTGCTATAGTAGATTGAGACTCCGAGAGAGGCTAATTCCCCCCCCATCTCTTCTGAAAAGTGGTATTTGACCTCACGCAGTAGTCTTGGGTGGCTGCACTGTCTGACAGCAAGCTGTTCCAATTTCTGGAAGTCGAGGAAGTCATTCCCTTGAAGATTTCTCTGTTTTTCTTTTTGGAACTGCCGGACTCGGCGTTTTTACTGCTCGTTACTTCGCCAGTTATTCAAGATATCGCCAATGAACAAAAAGTGTTGCTGCGTAGTTGGAAGAGCGGACGGAGAGGACAAAAAAAAAAAAAAAAAAAAAGGGTGCTTCGCAGCGTGATCTTGACAGAACCTACTGAGAAGTCGGGGTATTTCCTTCCTGAGATGAGAGAGATGGCATGGCTGGTCAGTGGGAGAAGAGAGCTGAACCTTGGAGGCTGAAACACAACATACAACGTCGAAAACCCCTGCTAAGCTGAAAGTTTTTTTTTTTACCGAAATAAGAATGATTTGTTGGAAGCAGCAGCCCGGGATCTGCAGGAAGGAAACAGCAGAACGGCGGAGTTCCAGGCCGGCGCCCCAGTGACCAACGTTTAAATAGCTTTTCCTTACTTTTCTTATGTCTTTACAGATATCTCATCTGTGTTCTATCCGGCAGCCTGCACTATGCAGAGTATGATTGGAAAGAACTCCTGTCTGCTGAAATTTTGAAAAGTGGGCCCCTTTCACTAATTTAGAATGTTATTAATTATAAAGGTATGTGCCTGTTTATATTGTCGTGTCAGTTAATCATGTTAACCCTTTCCGGCACGCTACCTTTTCAAGTCGGAGTTTGATAAAAAAAAAAAAAAAAAAAAAAAAAAAAAAAAAAAAAGGTAGAGAGTCTAATTAGGCCTAGAGGAGTAGACAAGTAAAATTTCGTGGATAGCACTTATCGTTTATTTCTGTGAGTGTGCCCGAAGAGGGCACACTGATTGAATAGAGCTTCGAAAAGAGTGCTGAAACGAGCATTGTTGTCAATGATGCCCGTAAGAAGTATTATTGACGAGAAAGCTTTTCATATAAGATAATATGAAAAGTTCCTTCGCACTGGAGATTCTTTCTGTATTATTACCTGGACGTAAATAAAAATATCAAGACCCAGTGTGGCTCCCTAGAAAAATTCTGAAATTAGGGAAGGATGTGGACTAATCGATCAAGCGGAAGAAACTGTGCAGCCAGCAAACTTCCTTCGTATGTTCCAAATCAAGACACACCTTGACCTGATTAATTCAGTCAAGAAGAATTACATATCTGTAGAGGTGTGGAAAGGGCTTGCCTTTGAAAATATTAATGCTAAATACCCGAATCATAACTGGGTGCATGTTTATACAGACATGTCATATAATGATGGTCTAATATCTTCAGGTTCGGGAGTTTTTTCCAGCCCATTTTTCCTTCTCTCTCAGCCCCTGCTGTGAAACATCAAAGTGCATTTGATATTGAGAAGAGAGAGCTCTTAGAATAGCCCTGAAACATTTATTGGTCTTACAATTATAAATTCGAGAATTCTGTCCTGCTATTAGATTCAAGAGCAGTAGTATGTCATATCAAAGCTAAAGATAAAACAGTCTATGAAACAAAAACATCGGTCGAAATTGTTGGACAGCATTAAGACGAAAAAGTAGATGGCTGAAGATTGCTTTGCCTGCCAGAATATCCACGACGTAATCCTCTGTCCCGTTTTCGGCTACTTACAGGCCATCATTGCCTGGGCGAACATCTTTACCGAATTGGTAAATTTGTTCAACTATTTTGCCCACTCAGTAACCTCATGGAACCTATGAACAGAGCCTATCTTCGTCTCTGTGTGACATTTCTTGGTTATGACTCCGAGACCACCCAATATTGAGGTGCCAGAGACTGTCTTAGGCAATGAATATCGGCCGCTTTTTTGTTTTGTTCTGTGTTTAGACTTCTTGTTATATCTTGTCTTCTCATTAGAAATGAAAATAACTTTCATTCTTCTGCATTAAATAAAAATGTTTTCCTATTTACAACACTTCAGGCGTTTTTTTATTTATAGGAAGGATTTTACTGTAGAACAATGTTGCGTAATGCATCTTCGAAAGTAATCTAAAACTAAACTCAAGTTAGAAGATAAATTGTATCATGTAAGATAAACTGATGATGAGTTACATGATTTATGCACTAAATTATTTAATATAAATTCTACAACAGGAGAAGTGAGGTATCAAATATTTCTATTTATTTAATATTACCTTTAAATGGAAATTAGAGGCATTTAAACAGGCAAATCTAATAATTGCTCCTTTTACTTAGGAATATACTAGGAATCGTTTAAGAGGTTTCGCTACGTTTTTTTTTATTCTAGGTACAGAAGCACTGCAGTTAAAGAATAGCATGTTATATTTAAAAAAATATTCTGTCAATTATCAGTTTTCCAATCGTAAGGGACGCTTTATCCCTTACCATTCTCTCAACTGTATGAATTAACAATAAATAATACATAATTCAAAATTATTCAGGAGATACAAATTTTTAATTAAATGTTTTCGAAGTTAATAACTAATGGAAGCTCCTAATTTTTATTAAGCATCGTGAAATGTAGAGTCATTAAGTTATTAATTTTTGAAGCTGGAGAAGTGAAAAATGAACAACGCTCTTGCCTGGACTCGAACCTCGGACCTCTAAAATACGAGCCGAATGTATACTAAGAAGGTATACTAAGAAAGCGGGAGAAATATCTTATACACCCCTTTTTTTTTAAAATGCAACTGGGGATTAGAGTACCCATTCACTAAATTCTGATGGTGAAGAATCTCATGCACCACCCTTTTTAGGTCGGGCACCACTGCAGAACGATTAGGATATTTTATCTTTTTGGGGGAAGCAGGAATCATGAAAAATGAGCAATCTCTTCGCCGGGACTCGAACCTTGGACCTCTCGAATACGCGCCGAAGGTGTTGACCATGACGCCACGAGGACATGCTCAATAGGAGGGAGAAATACTTTATACAAGGGAAGAAAAAGATATTTAGTTTTATTAACTTTATGGAAATATTCATCATTCTAAACTGATTGTTTTCCCTGTTACTGTCCCATACAGACAAATGAATACACAAACTATGCTATTAGCCATATCGGTAATTTGAATACTTCATTGATATTTAAATTTTTACTATTTTCGCTCTTCGGGATTTAATAATAGCTTCCTTGCTTATTACAAATTTAAGTGCTTTAAAAAGGTTTCTTAAATTTATATATCATTATTACTCACTAATTCTAAGTAAACCAAGAAACTGGATTCATTTATGTTAGATCATTTTACGATGAACAGACATTCGAATCCTGGAATCCTGAAAGTCTTAAAAAACATTCGAAATTCGAAAACTAGAATCAGGCATCAAACATACTTAAGTATGTGATTTGAAGTGATTTAGAGTATTTAGAAATGGAAATATTTTAATTGTTCGTTCTAATTCAGAAAACACTAAACGTGTATTAACGTTTCGCTAGTTCTTTCTCATTTTAGGTGTACAGGCTCTTCAGTTGAACAATGCAATATTTTTTTAGAATCTCTCTGTTACCATTTTTATGAAATATTACCATTTTTATAACCATTTTTACAACCTGCTTCATAATTGTAAACATTAATTTATCAAATGATGTATGCCTTACCTGCAGAAGCAACGACCAAAGCCGATACGATAAGAATCCACATTTTGGTTTGAAAGTCGATGATCGAGTAAAATAGCCGGTAATGGGCCTGAACTCTTTATATTTGGGTAGCATTCTCGTTTTTTATTCACATGTAATTAAGTTGCGGATATAAGTAATCTATTTCCTCCACGACCTCCTTGACTTCCGGAAATCTAAAGAATATCACACGCAGTGCTGTCCGTTTTTGGAAATGCTTGGTACCATAATTATCGTTTGAATGAGAGTAAACATTTTTTTTGGTTCCTTTTATTTCACAACATAGTTCATCAATTTACAAATGTAATTTGATGAAACATGTTATGTGTTTTTAACTTCTTCTGAAAAAGACAATTTCAATTTAAAGGCAGATTAAAAGAGGAAATATTTTCGTCTGCTGTGAAATATTTAAAATATGCAACTTTTTTTTTTTTTTTCATTTCCGTTTCGCACAGTAAACCTACCTCCCGGCAATAACGCCGTGGAGGGTTTAGCGAGTTTTTAACCGCGACCGAAATCACGAACTAAGATTCTGTGCAATGTGAAACAAACGAGAGAACTATCGTAAAACCAGCGGCCTCCCAGCGCATTTGCAAGTTACATGCTGCTCGAACGTTCTGTCAACGCATAAGAATACATTTTGAATATCAGATGCATTTGAAATATCAGATAGTAAAATGTATTTAAAATTGGAGGAAGAGAATTTTTTCGGGAACGTATGTAAGCTCGTATTGGGTGAGTGCAAAAGTTCTACTGGTTTTTGGGATACGCAAATTTGCAATGGAATTGACGTCATACATGACATTGTAATGACGCTAGTCAAACGTGTTGATAAAAACGTGATACGATGTATTTGTATCGTGTCCTATGCGATAAAACGTGATACGATGTATTTGTATCGTGTCCTATGCGAGACACGATACAAATACATCGTATCGTGTTTCGCATAGTTAATCATCTCAAAAACATCTCAGAAGTTGTAACATGGAAAGCGAGAAGGAGCATATAAGACACTGTTTGTTATACGAGTTCGATAAAAAGAGTACGGCAGCATGTCACAATGATTTCGCAGTAGACGAAAGCACATGTCGTCGATGGTTTTGTAAATATGGGGAAGGAGAAAGAAGCTGCCAAGATCAGGCAAGGAGGGGACGGCCATCATACGTTGGAGAAGACGATATTGACCAAGCCATAAAGAACAACCCGAACCCAACCGTGCAAGACTTAGTGGAGACTTTCAGCGTACACCTGACAACAATCGAGAGACGGCTGGTTAAATTGGGGTTTATGAAAATTTATTGTTGGGTTCTACATAACCTGGCAGCTAATCAACGGGATGACCGAATCACCACCTGTGGTTCCTCGCTATCCCGGTATAAAAACGACCCATTCACGAATCGTGACAGGAGATAAGAAGTGGGTTATGTACCGTAACATAAAGCGTCGTAGGAATGTGTATATGTGTATCTCCTTTCTGATCTGCCTGCATCGACTTCGAAAGCCGAACTTCATCCCAAGAAGGTGTAATTCAGTGTGTGGTGGGACGTGCAGGGAATAATTCATTGGGAGGTCAAGTCACTCAACCAAACCATCACTGCTACAGTCTTCTACTATCTACAGTTAGACAGGCTGCATTCAAATTTGGTAGGAAAGCGGCCAGGTCTCATCAATCGTCATGGTGTTATCCTTCATCATGATAACGCAAGACCACATGCGGCTATCATCACTTGCTAAAAGTTACTCGGCTTCAGTTGGGAGGTTTTACCCCAACCTCCCTATTCTCCTGACTAGACAACAATTGACTATCAGGTATTTCATGCGTTGAACAATTTCTTCAGTCAGAAAATTTGATGGTCTTGATGCTGTGAATACTGCCATCCAAGACTTTTTTTGATTCGAATTGACCTTTTTGACCGGAATTTCACCGACTTGGGATTCATCTCCTATCAGAAAGATGGCAAGAGGCTATAGATAACAATGGGGATTATGCACAACAATAGATACTGTTCATTTTGCGTTTATTTGCTGTTCTTTATGGGTAATGAAAAAGGGTAGAACTTTTGCAGTTACCCAATAGTACGTACCCCATTTTGTTTTCACAAAGTAAAGGCATTTTTTTTTTTATTTATTTTTTTTTTTTTTAACTCAACATTTTTTTCCAACAGTATGCTAGCCGAATTACGCATATGCTAGAACTTTTATGGAACAAAAGTGCTTAATCATGACGAAGATTAGGTGCGAAATTGGGAAAAAGTGCAGAATCGCCCACTGCTTGCCGCGTTTTTTAAAATTGCACATAAACGATATCCATGTACACGTCGACCTATTTTCACTTAAAAAAAAATCCCAGAATTGCACAAAAATGGCATTGCGCACACTCTTGACTTCATCCATGTACACTGCTTAAGTCCTAGCTAGTAACCTTTATCGCCTTACCAAAATTTCGCCAAACTACCTGTTACCATATTCCAAAGATTAGCCAAAAAAAGTATTGTCTTCATTGCTTCCTGGCCAGTATCAGATTAACTAGAAATTTAATACTAAACTCTGTTTGGATATACTCTGTTTGCCAAAAGGAGTAATTTATGTTTTGCAGTTGTTGTCTGATTTAATTCTAAATTCTTGAGTTATATCATTTTCGTTTTGGAATATGATTTCTTGGTATAGAAAGCAGGCACGGATAACGCCCATACAGTACACGGTAATACCAAGGTGATCAAGCCTATTTTCGGGTTTAAAAACAAAAATATGCATTTTGAACGCTTTTCAAAACCATTGTAAAATGGATTTAAAATGAGAGGAGAAGACTTTTTTTAGGGACGTCTGGATTTAGGTATGTAGCTCGTAGTATGCACATGCATGCACCTCCCTGAATGGTTACAATGGGCTCAGTGAGCTCAGATTTTTATTTTTATATGGTGGTAAATTGCGGATTTTTTGCTTTCAAAAATAATTTAAATATGTTGTTCTTGTATTACGGGTTAAGGATTTTTGCCTTTAGTTAATCGGCATGCACTAAAATTTACAAAGTTTGTTTAAATTATGTATTGAATTTCTTCTATAAATATCGGAAGTAAACATTCCTCTTCATAAGTTAGTTCAATTGCTTTTAACATTTTTTCCTACTCTTATTATTTCTGAATTTCCCATCGTACCAGAATCCTGCAACAATTATTCTCGCTGAAACATTCTTTGCATTCACGAAATCACATGTATAAAATTTTTCTCTTTGTTTGCCGGTAATAAAAATAATTTTTTGTTGTTGTTGTTTCTGTCGTTTAGCAAAACCATCCTTCACCAAGGGTCACAATGTACACTGCACGCACACAAAAAAAGGGGGGCGAACAGTTTTATATCTTCCGTTCTACTGGCCCGATTGACGAAATTCAGATTACGTTTTTCATGTCTTAAAAGCGCGACTTAGGATATGTATTACATTATATTGTTGCGTGCGTGCGTTCGGGTTCGTAATAAATTGAATGCACAAGTCCGATGGAAAGTAAATAAATATTTATCCCAACAAACAAATCCCAATAGTCTTTCAGGGACAAAGCCTCTTTTAAATAAAAATTCTTAAATTTCCTCAGATATTCGTACAATATTGCTATATATGACAATAGTTATCTTTTAGACTACTAAAACGTTCAACAGAATTTAATTCAAAACAGAGAAACTTAGAGAAAGCTAATCCAATTTCGCCGAAAACTTGCTACAGTAAACAACAATAGTTCTCCAAACAACTCAAAATAGCAGTAACCAAGCAGCTGAGAGATGTTCTTTCTCTGGCTTTTTATAGCTTTTTAAATCGGCCGCACGAGCGAATTCCAGCAATTTCTATAAGTAAAAACGGTTGCGGCTACGGCTCGAAGTAATTACGGTTACGGATAGTCAATTAACATTTATTCGAATGAAATATAAATTAAAAGATATATTTATTTATTAAATGTTAAATGCACGTGCTATTGTATTTTTAATTTTTCGGCATAGCTTTCTCTTAATATTCGTCACGCGCTGCACTGCAGGAAGAATAAAAAATTTTAATTTACAGTTCTACTAACATTGTAGAGACATTAGGCATTTTTGGAAGCAGGAGAAATGAAAAATATGTAACCGCCTTCGCCGGGAATCGAACCATGGACCTCTGGAATACCGGCCCAGCGTGTTGAACCACTACACCACAAAGGACGCTAGGGGAGTGAGAGAAATACCTTATATACTCCCCTTTTTAAAAGGCGACTCGGGATTTACGGGACCTAGTCGCCAAATCTTGGGTGCGGAGAATCATCATCCACAACCCTTTAGCTCGGGCGCCACTTGTAGAGACATTAGGTATTTTTTTGAAAGCAGACAAGATGAAAAATAGCAAACGCCTTTGCCGGGAATCGAACCAATGACCTCTGGAATACCGGCCCAGCGTACTACCGTTACACCACGAAGACACGCTAGGGAAGTGGGAGAAATACCTTATAACATTAGCTATTTATATGCCAAATCCGTAACGATACATATAGGTATTTTGACACAAAATCGGACTTTTTCTGAAATCACATGCCAGTTGTTTTCCTTATTTTGATACTACGACTCAAATTATGCCTAAATATTAAATTTTTAAAATTTGGTGCGAGAAGCCGGCTCAGTGAGATCAGATTTGGTGGTTACGGAGAAATGAAAAAAATTACCTTGGCGCATATTTTTGAGTTTGCGCCAAGAATAAGTCACTTGGCGAATTTCTTAATATATGGCAAACTATTTTCCTTTTTCCATTGGACACGAGAGAGAGGGGAGGTCACATCGTTCCTATTTCAAAAAATTTTAACAAAGTTCCCAAACCCCATTTGATGTTTTGTGGCTTTCAACAAATATGACAAATTTCAAAACGCCAATATATAAATTCCCGTTTATCTTCGGAAATGTTGAATAAAAGAACTTTAATTTTTTGCAGGTATGAAATACATCCACTTTAAGATGATGGTAAAATTTCTATAGGTTGTATTCAAAATTGTTTTCCGAAAAATTTACAAAAAATATTTAAAAGTAAAACTTTAAGAAATAAATCATAAAAATGGGCGAATTTTATTTGGCATGAACCTAAATTTCGAATTCTGGAAGAAAGAATCAAGTAAGTTTAATAAAATAGGGATATTAATAAATATATGTTAAATTCAATTAACATTGAGGAATAAAAATTTTGAGAATAATTTTTTAAAAACTACTCGTGCGATTTTTACAAAACTTGGCACTTTGGTATATGGAAAACCATTAGCATGTGATGTCAGAAAAAGACCGATTTTGTGTCAAAATACCTATATATTAGAACAATGCTATATATAAATATAATACGTATCCTAAGTGGCGCTTTCCAGACAGGAAAATCGCATGTTGAATTTCGCCAATCGGCCTACTGGAACGGAAGATGTAGAACACTACCATTTTTTTCCCCAGTGTACTTCTCTTTATCTCCCGTTAAATGATTTTCATGCAGAGTTCTACAAATAGGTCTGCGTGGAGCCATATACGAGGGCGAAAGCTAGTGAACGTTATCTGTTTTAGCTTTTTAAGTTGTAAAGCTTGGTTTAATTACTTTCTATTCTTGCTACGGATGTGTTTAAAGACTTTGCGATTGATTTCTGTGTTCGTGGATTTTCTCTTGCTGATGACGAATTTACTTGAGAAATATTAGAAACAGTACGTACGTTTATCGAATATTCGTTTGGAGCCTTCTTTCGATGTAGAATCGATGATTGACGGTTTATCTCTTTCCAGTTAATAATGTTGCTTATTTTAAATTTAGATATTCTGATACTATGAATTTTGTAGCATTTTTGTATTATATGATAATTTCTCTTCGGAAAGCGCAAACATATGTCCTTCAATCCACATAGCTTGTTTACACGCGACATTTTGAAATAAGAATTAATTTAAAAATAGCAGAAGATATGTTTACTCCAAAACATTTGCTCATTGTTTGAAGCGAAGGAAGTATTGTAAATGAGAAAAATTTCGATTTTCATAGCGAAATATGTCCGTTTAAATATCTATTTTGACTGTTCCGGATCCATTTAAATTTTGTTTTGCGAAACATATGTACATACTTCCAAAATAAAGGACACTTCCAAAATGAATTGTAAAATGTTTTTTAATGGATTTTTTCGTGACGTCTGTAGGAACCAAATGTATACATGTATGTATATATATATATATATATACAAAATAAAAATATTCATATACATATATATGCAAAATAAAAATATTCATATATATATGCGATTGATATATGTATATATATATAAAGTATTTCACTAAATCTTAAGCATCGAAGAAACGATGCAATTCCTGATTTTGGAGGAGCAACACTTTGCTTCCAATGTGCCAATGTGTTGTGAAGCTTAACTGTTTTAGCATTGTTCCTTTCACCCTTAACAAGAGACGGAATTTTCGGGAAATGTAGAGTTCTCACATATGGATTAGGTAGTAGCCACCAATAAATGGTGACTATCTTTTGATGTAAGATTCGCTTTTGAGGGATTATTTAATTTAACAGACATTCTTGCTTTAATGAAATAGGAAGAAATATTTAATATACATCAACCAAAATGTGGTTACAAAATGTAACCTCTTTGACTTAATTCTATTCTCATATGTACTCTAATATTAATTAATGGATTAAAAATGAGTTTGCTCCAGTATGGGCCTCATCCATTTGCTGTTTCAGATTTCCAATAGTAATTCTTCGAGTAGCAGTTCTTGCTTAGGGCTGATATGCATATTTGGGATATCTTTTATGATCTCTGCTGTCACACTTCTGGTGCATCCTCCCATCTGGCGCAGATAATCAACACGACGAGCCACTTCTATAATGGCATTCTTGACTGTATTGCCACATGGTGAAGCAGCGTCAGCGGCACAAGTAACTTCATAAGCGTAGAGCCTGAGGAAAGAACAGCATATTAATTAAAACGTAACCGTAACTCTGCAAAAACTTATATGACTGTCTATAGTTAAACTGAGGACGGTAAAAAGGGCCGTAACCTCAGAAATGATAAATATATACATGAGTTATATTACTAATAACTTTGTGGCGAAAATTGATGATATAAGATTGATATAAAAATTAAATAATAAGAGTGGAAAATGTCTGTCTATGGTTTCATATGCAAGTTATTGCGTAAATGTTGTCTTTATCTGTTTTTGGTGCTTATTTTTCCGTGAAATGAAGTAAAAGATGAAATGTTCTAATGTATAATATTTTTGGAAGATTTTGGTGGCGACTCAAAGATATTTTAAAGTATAGATTGGTTATGGTTATGCGCCACTGACCAGGCTCCCGACCTAATGTAAAACCGAACGGAATGATGCCTGATGAGTGGGAAAAAACAACAAGCACAGTTTGGTATAAGAATGCGATCCTCGCAAATACGCCTTTCACTGACTTTATTAGAAACTGGACGCCGCACCTCAACGATGGAGAAGAACCAATGGCGCCCATCATCTTATAAGGTACTTTTTCCCTCCTTTCTGCATGCTTCGTGGTATAACGGTAGCACAAACGGCACGTATAGAGAGGTCCAGTTTCGAGTCCCGGCGAGGCCATTACTCATTTTTCACGTCTCCTGATTCCCAGTTGCCCTTTAAAAGGGGGAGTATATAAGGTACTTTCTCCGTCCTTTTTGCATGCCTTCGTGCTGTAATTAGGGCACACTTGGCGCGTATCGAGAGGTCTAGGTTCGAGTCCCGGCGAGGGCATTGCTCATTTTTCACATCTCCTGCATTAAAATAACCTAATGACTTTGTCCGCCATAATAGGAAATGACAATACGTTTCCTTTTGTTCGCTTAGTGGTTCAAGGAAGAAGGACGTGTTCACTGCAGATATTGTGGAGATGTTTTAATGTGTGTGTAATATCACAAGGGCTTTCTGAGTGACGCTGGCTGGTAAACACTGGCTACGCATAACGCGCAAATTTATTTCTGTGATATATATTTATAGGGCTTCGGTTGAGGTAAAGTGTTTGTAAATTAGCTAAAAAGGTAAAGTATTCGTAAAGAAGGTTGCAAATGCAACGCAACATCATTGCGCAAAAGAGCTGTAAAAGTTTGGAAGACGTATGCCGGAAAATTTCGATAAAGGCAAAAATTGAGAAACAAAATGATGAATATATTGAACACATTCTGTCTAAACTCAATTTTCATGGTCATATTATGCATTCATTTGGCAATATTTCGATAATAAATAAACAATTAACAAAATAATGTTTATGGCATTCCTTGCGCCAAACCTGTAGTTAGATTTATACTAATTTAACCGTTACTTTACCTCAAAATTTCAGATTTCTTTAATTATGATTGCTTTAAAATAAGCCATTTTTAGTTTTTGTTTGTTCATTGCTTAGATATTGATGCAATTTATAGTATTTTAACCTCAGTTGATTGTAAGAAACCATTGCAAAATATAAAACTGCTTAAAACATTTCTACTGTGCATCTCTTCTATGTTATACTTTTAATAATAAGGAATATACCGTATTCTCTCGAATATAAGTTTCATTATTTTTGACGAAAAGGCAGTTCAACATTTAGCAGTGCGTCTTATATACACGATTTATTACAAATAGTACTTCGGAACATATAGCTACACAATTACGTGTGCAACACTGTAGAGTGCTTTTAACGATTGAGGGCAAAACCCATTCTTGTTGGATGAACGTTACATAGGATTATACAGATTGTATGTGATATCGGTAACAGCGATAGTGATACTGGTAGGGCAGGCAAGTACCCTACAAAACTGAATAAGTAAATAATAATAAATGCATTTTTTTAATTTTAAATTTCCTATTCTTTTCCATTTAGACACACTTGACTGTTTCCCTTTGTTAAAAATAATACACATCTTCATTTATAAATTGTTGTAAAAGTGCGAACGAGTTTTAATCAAAGAGAAATTATATTGTTTTTAGTTTAAATATAAGCGGAGAACGATTATGAAATGCAAATGATGGTCTTGCAATATATTCATTTTTTGCACAGGTTAGTGACATCCAAAAGTGATGTTAGTGACATTAGACATCCAAAACTATATGTCAAAAATGTAGACACAAGTAAAGGAGATCTGAATAAACAGATTTCGTATAGGAATATGTGTGCAGTAATGCCGCATTAGAGCGCTAACACTGAAAGAAGTATGAATCGCAGGAAATTGAAATGACAAGTAAAAACAAAAGAAAAATAAATTATTAACAGTTTACAATAGGTGCTCGAAAGAGGGGCCACCAACAGCGATATAAGTTTCACAGTGGCGCATGGATTAGCTTACATTAGAATAGACATCAGGCATGTCGAGCGCATGCCCAGCAGCAACAGACAAGCGAGCAACAAGATCTTCTGCAGATGTAACGGGACTCCCGTATACGAGGCCTTTAATATTGTTAAGAAATGTACAGGCGCGGTAAGATGGCTTCCCCGCAAAGCAGTTTTAGGGTTGACATAAAATAGAAGGAAGGGAGGGTTTCCAAATTTAGCGAGAAATCGCCCATTTGGCGACAAAATCGGCGATATGCCATGGACTGATGGAGAACCTTCTGGAACGAATTCTTACAGGTTTAGCCCAGACTGTTCTCGCACACAAGCCAAAGCTATATAAACGCTGCTGGTCCGCAGTCAGTTAGTTTGTGTGCCTCGTCTAGAGTGCGAGTTAGTTCGTATCGAGTTGGTATCTCATCTAGCGAGTCAATCCCTGCGGAGTCGATCGAGTTGACAGCCGGCCAGCGAGTGCCGAGTGGTCGTCGAGTGCACCGAAGGAGTCTCGTGGTGTATCGCGGTTAGTGCATCGTTGAGAGAGCGTGTTGAGCTCCGGGAACGACTGAACCGAAGAGTCGGGAGCCGTGCTCCGTGCGTCGTCGAGTGCATCGCGAGTTGTAGCGGGGAGAGTCTCGAGAGTACGTGGAGTTCCGAGAACGACTAACCAGACTCGGGAGCTGTACTCTAGTGCTTTGCCGAGAAGCTGTCTCCACCGTGATAGCCTGATAACCTAGAAGCTTTGTCGGTGATCGTGTCAGCGTGTTTTTAGTAGTTCATTGACGACTGTAAACGTATTTTGGAGCTGTCCTGACAATACTTGCCAATAAAGTGTGTTTCGATACTTCATCAAGTAATGTCTTCGTTATTCACTCCAAATCTATGAACCCTGTACGAACGTGAAGGAAGAGAAAAACGTAACAATTGATATCATAGAAAAACGTAACAATATAGTCCCAAAAGAAGAAATCCAAACAGGTTAAATCAGGAGATCGCGGTGACAAGGGAAGTGGTCTGCCCCGTCCTATCCAATGCTAGTCGTAGACAGCGTCCAGGTGACGGCTGACGTTCCGGCTGAAGTGAGTTACAGCTCTATCGTGTTGGAACCACATTCGTCTGAGAATAGCTGGAGGAACATCGACCAAAAGTTCAGGTAAAACCTCTCTGTAGATTCTTCTTGTACATTCTTTGAGCAGTTAATCCATTTCTATTGTGCAGCCCCATACATGAAATGCATGTCGGCATTGGCGTAACAATGGATGCTGTTCGAGATCCGTGATGGAAATGATGAATCCAAAGGCGCTTTTATACGTCACACTCATTAGTGCTCTCTATCGGCTCAACGTGGCTTTACCGCACACAGATTCCTATACGAAATCGGATTATTTAAGGTCCCCTCTAATTTTTGATGTATAGTTTTGAACCACCCTGTATTTTCTTCCGATTACACACGGTTTCGGAAAATAGTATTTTAAAATTTTAGAAGATAGCAAAATAATGCTGCATCACCGAACATAGTTTTATTTCGGCTTTTTATGTACATTATTTGAACATATTCAGTTATGTGATGAATGAGTAGTATGAACATAAAGTATGCACATAAAATTACATTGCATAATATGAATCACATATTCGTCTTTATTGCTTAGCATATCATTGCATAATTTAAAGCACAAATTATTCATATATTCTTCTTTGCAATAAAAAAAAATTGAATGAGAATAGAAAACATCCCTAACAAACACAAACACTAGTAATAACTCTTATGAAAATCCTTAAAATCAAAATAAATTCACGAATCGTAATAATAATTACATATAATAGTATTTCAAATTGTATTGCGTGGAATAAACAATGAGGACATATTCGCATGCCGGATTTTGGTATACATTCAATCTAATTAATCTTATGCATTATATAGATGATTTTTAATTTCAGTGAGGTGAAAGCAGTAAAAATGCATGATTAGAAAAAAGTAAATGTACTTACATGCAGTTGAGTTTTGACCACTGCTCTTCGGTAAAATGCTCGTTACCTGGAGTATAATGGGAATTTCTGTATGAACGAGCCACTCTTCTTATTTTTCCTTTTAAGCATCCCTCCCTTACACGTTCCTTGATGCATCCAATATTCCTTGCAAGAGCTATTGATCAGGAAAATCCTATTAAATATATATTACTTAAATCTTTAAAAAATACTATTTGTATACTTCAGGGTCACACTTCATAGAAGAAATAAAAATTTCAAAATAAAAAATTAAGAAAACATGCAGTTTGGCCTGCAAGATTCCACTTCAAAGCCTGAAGTACTTTTAAGATAAAGAACAGTTTAACTATTGCAACTGTACACTGCTCAAAAAAAAAAAAAAAAAAAAAAAATGGACAGGCTATATCTCCCGTTCTATGGGCCGATTGACAAAATTCAAACTACGTTTTTCATGTCTCGAAAGCGCGACTTAGGATGTATATTAGATTTATATATAGTACTATTCTAACATAGGTATTTTGACACAAAATCGGACTTTTTCTGAAATAGCATAGCAATTTTTTTACATATTTCGATTCTACGACTCAAATTATGCCAGAATACCAAGTTTTGTAAAAATCGTACGAATAGTTTTTAAAATATTAGCTCTCAAAATTTTAGCTCCTCAATGTTAATTGAATTTGGCAAATATTTATTAATATCTCTTTTTTTATTAAACATTTTTTGATTTTTTTCTCTCACATTTCGAAATTTTTGGTTCATTCCAAATAAAATTTACCCATTTTTGCGTTTTATTTTAAAATTTCTATTTTTAAATAATTTCTATAGATTTTTCGAAATAAAATTTTGAATTATAACCTATAAAAACGTTTACCATCATCTTAAAGTAGGTGTATTTTTAAGCATATCTGCAAAAAATTTTTTTATTCAAAATTTTCTAAGATATACACGAATTTACATAATTTCGCGTTTTGAAATTTGACACCTTTTTTTGAGCGATAATAACGCCAAATGTGGTCTATGGATTTTTGTTACACTGAATTGCCACAGCTATTTTTAACCAATAAACTTCAAGTAAAATTTTACGAAGAATTAATTATATGACATTTTTTCCCTCAATGATGCATAATAAATATTTATTAATACTATATGAAAAGACTATTTTTTTAAATTATAGATGATATTATTCAAATTTTTAACTAACTTTTTTTTAAATTTCTCTCGTATCTTTTCTTTTTTTAAAAATTTAAGAGTAAAGTTTTTGTAAGAGTAAATTTTTACCTTCGGCGTTTTTATCGTCTGCTACTTTACTTCGTTTAAATCGAATTGTCTAAAACTGAGAATTTTCGTTTGATATTTATTTGAATTTTATGACATTAACTGCATAATTTATTTCTAAACAAACTGTTCCTTTTTGAAGTGGCTGAAAGAGCAGCTGATACTATTATCCATATTTTTAAAGCACATATATTTTTTATAGAAACATAATATTTAGAATAATCATTTTTTATAAAAGTCAAATTATGATATAAACATACAACCCTCTAGAGACTGAATTAATGGAAGTTCAATGGTTATGTAGAAATGATCTGCAGCTACTTAATGGCTGGATAAGTCAGCAGATTCTGTGGACAAGTAAGAATAATTATATAAACGACACCAACATTCTGGATTCAATAAACAACGAGGAGAAAACACTTGGACGAGTGCACCAGCAAATACCATCAATTGAGCTTGTGTTAACAGAAAAGACAAAACGATATCATTGCAGATTAAAGTGAAGAGCGACTGGTTTTAAACTATATGGTTGTGTAAATTACGTTATAGAACATCATATCGTATCATAAATGGTGAATCCAATGATTTCCTCAGTCGAATTATTTTTGAAGATTCAGGAGTTATCCAGTGATGTATGTGGATGTCACTTAAAGATGTTTTGTTTCCCTTCCTAATATAACTGCCGAGCGGTCATTTTCGCTAAACACTGGTAGTTCTGTCTCGAGGTTTGAATCCCGCGAACGGGCTGGCTACATGGGCGTTTTCGTGGTTTTCCCCAATGTGTAACGTGGTATACGAGCCAGTTTCCCTAAAGAAAGTCCATCTACAAGGAAAGGTATCCCTCCCCTTAGGCAGATAGCCGTAGTGTGCTTTGTCATAATAAAATAAGCCAAAACCTTTTTGATGAAACCAGTCTTTCCTTTCATCTCATAGCTTCAAAATGTTTAGCCCTCTAAAGACTGATAAAGGCTCTGACGAAATACTTCTTGAAGAACTTTCTAAGGGGAAACCAGCTGTCATACGCGGTACACAGGAGAAAATCCACGAAAACGCCCATGCAACCAGCCGTTTTACCGGGGTTCGAACCCCGGAGTGAAACTACCAGTGTTCAGCAACTTAACCGCTCGGCCGGTTTTTGGGCCTTTATGAAATGGAAGGCGATAACTTTATTTAAATGATTGTCAAAATACCAAAATGTTTCGAAAAGTTGGATACTTTTCAATATACTTTCAGAATGCTTAAAGAAAAAGAGAAGAAAAATAAATTTTTTTCGTAAAATTTAGTATTCGTATTTTTTTTAAAATTTAAAACTTTTTCAATCTTATGATATTTGATTCTTGCGATTTCAAAAATAAAATATTTGACTAAAATATGAATAACATTTTAAGAAACCAAATGTAGGATAAAATTGTGTAAAGCAATGGGCACAATGATAAAACTGTTTTAAAGCAGTGTATGCAAGTCATCCTAAGTTAAAATATCGGTTATACATCTCTCTTATTTATATATATTTTTTCTGAACGGGAACATTGAAAGGCGTGTAAAACTGTGCTTTACTGTATTTTTTCTCCTTTAATATAGTATGCAGTTTTTCAAACGCATCGTAGTCTGGGTTACAAGTATTCTTCCGAAAAAACGCAAGTTCAAAATAAATAAAATCAAATTCTGGAAAATTGATATTAATAAATATATTTAAAATGCTCAGTTCGAAGGAATAAATAGAAAATTTTAAAACAATTATCTGAAGAGACAATGCAACACAAAACAATTAAAAGTATTAAAAATTTAAAAATGACCTAAAATAATAGCTATGACGAAAAATATATATAAAGAAAACTATTTGAAAAAAAAAAAATAAACGCTGCACTTTTATTTACGCAGTTCGAATAGGTAAATAGAAATTTTTAAAACAGTTATTCGAAAAAAAAAAAAAAAAAAAAAACAACTTAAACAATTAAAATGAAATTCGAAAAAGAAAAAATTACTTAAAATAATAAGTTATAATTAAAAATATAATATAAAACATTATTTTGGAAAAAAGAACGATGGTGACTTTTTTCCCTAAGGAAAACTAGGTTGCCATATATTAAGAAGTTCGCCAAGTGAAGTATTCTTGGCGCAAACTGACAAAAAAGTGCCAACATAAATTTGTGAAATTTCTCCGTAAATTTCGCTCCAAATTTTACAAAACTTTCATATTTAGGCGTAATTTGAGTCGTAGAATCGAAATATGTAAAAAAAAATTGGTATTTATTACAAAATGTCCGATTTTCTGTCAAAATACCTATGTTAGAATAGTGCTATATATAAATCTAATATATATCCTAAGTCGCGCTTTCGAGACATGAAGAAAACGCAAATTTGAATTTGTCAATCGGCCCGGTAGATCGGGAGATATAGGACTGTCCCTTTTTTTTTTTTTTTTTTTTTTTTTTTTTTTTTTTTTTTTTTAGCAGTGTACCTGTTTAATAGTTCTGAAACTCATGATGCAGGAGATAAAATCATATTGTAGCGAAAATTGCTCTTTTCGACCGAGCTCCTCATAGCTTAGCGGAGAAGACGCAGGACTCGAAACGCGAAGGTACCGGGTTCGAAACCCATCAACGGCGAGATGCCTGGTAATAGAGGTTCTTCCTAAGAAGGGGGAAATGTAGCGAAATTTGCTCTTTTTCGAGTCCTGCGTTTTATCCGCTAAGCTATGAGGAGCTCGGTCGAAAAGAGCAATTTTCGATACATTTTTCCTTTCTTAAGCAGCGTCCCGCTGCGATCTGGTCTGGTTTCTTGTAACAGTTCTCCTGGAAATATTGGGCTTTCTTTCATCGTCTAGCTATACGTTTGGATCAAGATAGGGCTTCAATCTCAACACCTGAACGATGTCTTTTGTATTCTGTCTTTATCATCAACCTCTATTTGCGAGTACCCTGCTTTCTGTTGATTACAAGCCACAAGGTAAAAATTAATTAGTATAACCGGGGGTTACTAGCTCCTCTTGTTTTATGTCAGTTATTGTTTCCCTAAAAATACTTTTAAACCTTTTACTTTCTGTGGCCATTTACCATTTTAAAACAAAATCTGTCTTGAAAACCGTGAGGTTACAGAGTATATTATTATTCGGTAATAAATTAATGAATTCCTAAATTTCCCTTCTAAATTCATATATTCATGATTATCATTCAGTTTTAGAGACATAAGAATTTTTAGAAGCAGGCAAGATGAAAAATAGCAACCGCCTTCGCCGGGAATCGAACCACGGACCTCTGAAATAACCGCCCAGCGTGCAGAACCACTACACCGCGGAGCCACGCTAGAACGGCAGGAGAAATACCTTATACAGTATAGTATGAATTTAAGTCGTCTGAAGATTTTTGCATGTGTTTATAAATTAATAATTATTATGACTTAATTCTGTAAGATCATTTATTTTCACTGGATAATATGAATATGATACTCGCAACAGATCTTCCTTAGTAAACTGGTAGCACTTTGCAAGTTGGCAAGAATAGAAGATTTACTAAATAGTACACAAATTATTTTTGTGCAGAAATAAATTAATTTTATTTTTCTTCAAACCACTCCGTCCTTTTTGCATGCCCTCGTGGTGTAATTGAAAGCATACTCGACGCGTATTCAAGAGGTCCAGGGTTCGAGTCCCAGCGAGGGTTTTGCATATGTTTCAAGTCTCCTGCTTCAAAACAGCCTAATGATTCTAGAGTGGCACCAGAACTAAGAGGAGGCGGGCGATAATTCGTCACTACCAGGATTTGGCAAATGGGTCCCTTAATCCCCAGGAGTCCAAATCAATTTGAGCCCGCGCGAGGCTACTGCACATGCTTTACGTCTCTTGCTTTAGTAAAAATTGAAAGATATATGCCTGGGGCTTGATTTTTAAATTTAGAATTACGGGAATCATAATCGGAAAAGACAATCAAAACTAAATGAATAAAATAACTAACAAGGTATTAAAAATAATTAAATTAATAGAATAACTATAATTAAAGAGATAAATAAACATTGAACAAATTAAATTAATGATAAACAGTTAAATAATAAAATAAAATATTTGACCTCGTTTTTATTTGGGGAATCTGTCAGGAATTACTAAAACTAAAACAAATCCCTCGGACTCCCGCTGAATTGCAGCCTTTGAATTTTCAATATAATGTACAGTTTCAAGAAATATTAGAACGAAAGTTAAATCGTTTTCCAGCTCATGGATAATAGAAAGTGAATGGTTAAATCATGGCGAATGAGAATAGGAAAAAGTACCGGGAAAACGGCGATATGACCTAAATTTGTAAGTGAAGACCATTTTAGATTCATTAACAACTAAAATATGTCGATTCAATATAATAATTGCAAAATTTTATAAGGTATTTTCTTCCCCTGTCCAGCATGCCCTCATTTAGTAACGGTATCACACATGGCGCCTATTCGAGAGGTCAAGGGTCTAGTTCCAGCGAGGACATTACTCATTGTTCATGTCTCCTGCTTCAAAATAATTTAATGATTCTTCAGTGCCTCTTGCATTAAAGGATGGTAGACATTAATTCGTCATCACCAGGATTTGGCGATTGGTTCCCTGAATCCCGAGTCGCTCTTTGAAAGGGGCATTTTCTCCTTCCTTCCAGCATGCATTCGTGGTGTGACGGTAGCACACTCGACGCGTCTTCGAGAGGTGCAGGCTTGGGTCCCGGAGAGGATATTCCTCATTTTTCATGCCGCCTGCGTCAAAGTAACCTAATGCGTCTACGACGTGTTAAAAAAAAACTTTCATTCTTAATCAATTTTGCGAGCATTATCGTTATGGTTTCACCTTGAAGCCAAGATGCGTTTTTAAAATGCGTAAAATGTGTAATATGCGCTTTGACTTGCTCAATATTTCGAAACAGTATTCCAGGCTTAAAAATGTCTACAGATCGCAACAAGAGATCTCACCGATAATATTTTAACTAGGTTTTAATAACTCAAAGAAATGCAGGAAATATTCCTTGAAGCATAGAACGGAATTGCTTTTGTGGTAGAGTTCTCGTTTAGCTATAAATTAAAGTGACAAGATACGTTTGATCCGATGAAAGCGGTTGAATTTTGTGTTTTTTGTTGATGTTAACGTTGAAAGTCTATTTCTCATGTGTAGTCACAGTTAAGTTGTAGAGACATTAGGTATTTTGGAAGCAGGAAAGATGAAAAATTAACATCGCTTTCGCCAGGAATCGAACGCGGACCTATGGAATACCGACCTAGGGGGCAAACCACTACACGACGAAGGCACGCTAAGAAAGCGGGAGAAATACCTTATACAGTAAGGACATGTTCTTTCTCTTTGTTTCACTGCAGAGTATTGCAAACGGAAGATAATTAGGTCTGGTTGTCAGCTAAGAAGTAATGAGGTAACCAAACTATGCCTATAGACGTTTTCCAGTTTTGTAGAGATATTTTCGCGAGGTTGACCGTGATGTTGGAAGGTGGTTGTTTAATTCTGCGATGTTCTGAAGAGATTTTCTTAAGCATTAGAGAGTAGTGTGCCGCAACCTAACTTCTCTAGTCTTCTATTCCAAATTTATTAAGGTGCAGGTAGGGGGGTCCCAGAAATTAACCACTGGTTGTATAGATATAGTTCCAAAGCACTAGCGGTGAGAGATCAACCTGAGAGGGGTGCTTTCAAAGGGTCTGTCCCCTCTTCCCCAGCTACCAACCTCTGGAAAGATCTTTCGGTTCGCTTTTGAATGCCCCCTTGCTGCACAGGCATACTATTTTACATATCAGTTCCTTATGTACTTACAAAAAGTCATGCTTTCTCCGAGATTCGAACTCGGACCCAGTAGCATACACTAGCAAAAAGGTCTCGAACTTTCCGTCAGGCTTCTTCACTAGGCCATATTGAAAGGAGAGTAAATGTTTATTTGTTAGCTCAAGACTATTATTTCACTTTGCTAGAGCAGTACTGCTTAGTGTTGCATTATCAAAATAATTTTATTTAAAAATATTGTCCTTTTTTTTCTAAATAGTTCTCATTTTTAAATTCAGCACTACGTATGCTCATTATTTTTATTTATTTTGTAGGGATTTATATTAATTTTAAACAACCAATTCAATTTAATTTTACGTTCTTTCCTATAAGCGCACATTCCCCTAATTGTCAATGCTAGAATATATAAATTTGGTAGCGCGTGTGAAGGAATGCAAATTCTACCTCGAGGAAAAAAAGCTTAAATACTGAGTTTATAAGGTATTTCTCCCATTTCCCTAGCGTGCCTTCAGCACGCTGGGCCGGTATTCCAGAGATCCGTGGTTCGATTCCCGGCGAAGGCGGTTGCATATTTTTCATCTTTTCTGCTTCCAATTAACCTAATGACTCTGGAAATTATACAGGGAAATGAGAGTGTTTCGAGCAATCGCCGTCACCTCTGTAGCGTGAACTTCAATTTCTGCATTTAGTGCTGGTTTACGTGGCATAACAGCAATTAGTTTTTTTCCCACTAGATTTCGACGCGCTTTTAAGTAATACATGTTTGTGAGCCCTGGAGCGTGTTTTCTACTACTTGTTGGTATCTTCGAATTTTTATTTTAGTTCTTGTGATTTGAGTTACCGTCCGAGTGAGGCGTCGTGGTGTGTTAGGTTACAGCCGAAAACATCGCGGCAAAAACATCGCGGACGAAAACGTCGCGGAGAAAACAACGCAAGGCAAAAACGTCGTGCTACAAAACATCGTGGGAGAAAACATCGCAAAGAGAAAACATCGCAGTTCTAAAACATCGTGGTACAAACCATCGTCGTCGAAAATAAAGCGGTTCAAAAACTTCGCAGTTTAAAAACATCGTCGTCGAAAACATCGTGGTAAAAAATAAAGTGTCTACAAATCATCGCATGACGATAACATCGCAGACATGCTTTTTTTCAGGCTTTTTTTAATAATTGTAAATGGATATTCCCATAATAATTTTGTGAGCGCAAGATGTAAAGGATAATTTTTACTTTCACATTTTTTTTTATAAAAAAGATAAAATTTTTGCTGAGAAAAAATTAAAACTTAAGCATAGAAATTAATTTAATGCAAGCACTAATAGAATTTTTAAAGCGACATAGTTAACTAAACAAAGGCCATTAATAAATCATTTTTTATAAAGTTTTTACTGGTAATTTTTCATGAAAAGTATAATCTATAAGTTGCATTTAATTTTCTATGCTTAAGTTTCATTCTTGCTTATTTTTTTAAGCAAAAAATTTATTAATTAATAAAAAAAATGTAAAAGTAAAAATTATCCTTCTTCACATCTTGCGCTCAAAAAATCATTAAGGGAATATTCATTTACAATTATTAAAACCTGAAAAAAGCATGTCTGCGATGTTATCGTCATGCGATGATTTGTAGGACACTTTATTTTTTACCGCGATATTTTTCGACGACGATATGTTTTAAACTGCGAAGTTTTTGAAGCCGCTTTACTTTCGACCGAAGATATTTTGTACCACGATATTTTTCTCTTTGCGATGTTTTCTCCCACGATGTTTTGTAGCACGACGTTTTTGCCTTGCGTTGTTTTCTCTGCGACGTTTTCTTTCGCGATGTTTTTGCCGCGATGTTATCGGCGGATACCGGTGTGTTAGCGTCAGGTTGACGCAGGGGGAATTATAGGGTACTTTTAACCCTTTTCCTGTGTAGCTCCTACACCTACAGTTGTCACTTAGAAGATAGACAAGTGGTTCATACAATTTATTTATTAATTTTGTTCATTATTCTCATAATCCTTTCTTTTTCATATAGCGATACTCTGATGCTCACAGATTGGGCATGTTGGTCTAAATTTTAAAAATGAAGGCAGAAAATGATTAATCAATATTAAGATACGTAATAAATGTGCTTCAAAAAACCTTTATAAACTAAATTTTCTAAAATGTGCTCAACTTTCGTAATTAGATATAATATAATTGATTTGATTAAGAATTATTACTTATAGTTTGTATCAGTTGCAGATATTAAGGCACAAATTACAAAAAACTGAGTGTAATACTCGTATATCGATAAATTAATTAAGCAAAACAATTTCAATCTAAAAGATAAATTGAAGATAAAATTAAAGACCTCATATCTCATAGGAAAACAACTTTTGCCGAGATGTATTGTTTTTAAATGTTCTGATAAAATGTGATGGGAAACTATGGGTAAAAAATTAAAGCTCTAAGCATTGCATGATGGTTGTTTATTTTATATAAAAAAGTACATGAAGGCTACTTTCTTATATAAAGAGATGCTTCGTGGAGCATTTTCTGAGGGAAAATGCCTCCTTCATGTTTGCAAATGTTTGAAATGATGTTCTTCAATGTTTCAGAGAATAATTAATATATTTAAATATTTGAAAAGGATAATTAATATATAAAAATGTTACCTTCATGAAGGCTGGAACCTTTGCGGCAGATATCTTCCAGAACCTCAAGATATGTTGTAATATCTCCAAGCGAGAAGGATTTACATTCTATTGTGTGTTCCTGCATGCAGTTAAACTGTTCCAGGACAATACTGAAAAAAAAAATGGGAACACAATTTTAATTTCAAAATATTGTAGCTTTTTGCGAAATTTTAGAAATCGAATCAGTACCATTTGCATACATGGAAAATTATAAGACAGAATAATAATACATTTTGCGTGATAGTTAAAAGGTTAGGATTATGGCAAAGTGTACGAGGACTATTTACCAACCGCGAGAGAGGCGTTCGTAGTGAATATTTAAACATACTAAATTGTCTGGAGACGTTACTCACAGGGAAATACTCAAAGTCTGCCATATAGTCAACACATTCTTCAGGATTTAATACAGGTCAAACTGCCAGCAATCAGTAAAAATTCCTCTCTGCCGCTGGCAGACCACATGGAAATCATAATGCGGCAGACGTCAATATTTAGCTAATTGGTTACCACTGTATTTGCTTGTAGAATCATTAAGTTATTTTGAAGCGGAAGTAGATGAGAAATTTGCAATGCCTTCGTCGGGACTCGAACCCGGACCTCTCGAATACGCGCCGAATGCGTTAACCGTTACACCACGAATGCATACTGAAAGGAGAGAGAAAATATATATTCCCCCGTTTAAAGGGCGACTAGGGATTAGGGGACCCAACTTCCAAATCTCGGTAGTGAAGAACCGTCATCTACCACCTTTTGGTTCGGGCGCCACTATAGAGACATTGCGATATTTTGGAAACTAGGGATGTGAAAAATGAGCAATGCCGTACCCGGGACTCGAACCTCTCGAATACGAGCCTATGAGGCGATCAGTGACAGATCCGGAATTTTTCTTTTTGGGTAGTCGCCTTAGAGAGGTACTGTTCAATACTAATGTATACTTACTTTCTCAGAAATAGGTGTATATTTGAAAGGCGGTTGTCTTAATGAAATGAAGCCTCATAATATCGTTATTTTATGAGACCACTCTGATCCCCTCTGATGGTGACACATTTCTCAGGAACAAAATTTAATTTCAGTATTTAAAATCACTGATAGTTCTCTACACGACGAAAACTTGGCATTAACTGGAACTGTGGTCAACTGTTTTAAGAATGTTTTCATTGTGTAATCAGTTCTTTCAGGTGTAGTAATTTTTACGCATGTATGAATTTTGCAAACGTAATTGAAAGGTGTTACGAGAGAATTAAAGCCAAAGCTTTTCAAATCATGAGTTTTTTGTGGTCCCTACTTTCAACTATGGTTCACTGCACTGCTTTTAAATATAGACCAAATAAAATTTAGATATTATTTCCTTAAATCATTTATAAATTATTATACTGCAGTAATAGCAATTACTATTTTTACATTAAATTTATCTGTTTGCATAATAAAGCAGGTAAAACTGTTTGTAAACAAATGCGATTGTATGTACTATATTTGATTAGTAGTTTTGATAGAAGACTGTGTGGAAGATTTATTTATAATGCTAAATGTTGCTCTATAAGAATTTGATTTGTTGATACGCCCAAAATGCTCGGATACGTTTTCAATGACGGTATGTTCCGAACGCTCAGTATTTTTTTAATGGTATTTTTAGCCCAAAGGGCGTTAGCCCAGAAGGGCTATTAATTTCGTTTTGGAATTTTGCGTTGATTAATTTTTTGCTTTGATTCACTTTTTAAACTGTTGCCACCTCAAATATGGGCATCTGGAAGCCCTAATTTGGAATTTGTTTTATTATCTATTTCATATTTTGTCAGACATTAAAGAATGTTTGATTAACAAACTCTACGATTTCAAAGCGAGGAATGGCAACACTGTACGGAAAAAAAAACATTTTTATCTCCAGCGCTGGAGACTATGTATCGGGAATTCTAAAGATATGCTCATTTTAAAATTACTTTGCAATATTGCCGTTGAATTGATTTTTGGTTTAAGTGCGAAGAACGTGATATTTAATAACTAAAGGTAACACATAAAACGTTAAAAAATGCCCCTTTGGAAGTAAATTAAAATTTCAAACCTTTGAGATTTTTTTTAAAATTTTTTTCATAGAGATTTGGTTTTGTTAAATCAGTTATTTACTAAATAATAATTTGATTATTAAGTTAAATCAGTTATTTACTAAATAATTAATTTGATTTAACAAAATTATTTAATTTTTATTCAATTTTTAAAAAATTAATTTATTTAAATATAATAAAAGGCGATAATATTGGGTGGCAACAATTTGAAAAGTGATTCACCGTTTATAGGTTTCAACGCAAAATGCCAAATCAAAATTAATCGTCCTTCAGGGCAAATTGTCCCTTTGGACAAATAAATATCTTATATTTCGCCGAATGGCAACAGACTCCAATAAAACGTGAAACAACGCAAAATCATGTTTCGTACTAATAGTTCTTTAGTTCAAATAAATTTATATTATGCAGAGACGTATAAATAAATTTATATTATGCTACAAGGCGTACAAATAAGACGTACGAATAAATTTATATTATGCTAAAATATAGACGTGCAAATAAATTTATATTATGCTACCAAGTTCGACTATTAGACACAAATACTGTAAACACGATATGATTCCTTTTTCGAGCATTCCCTTTCTTTCACCGTCTTTCTTCCTTAATAATTTCTTAGGTCTGAAGCAAAATTTAGGTATTTTCTTCGTCATTAATATTAGTACGTCGCCTGTTTTCTTGGCATTAAGGACGGCATATATTGAAATTCTCCAATGCACTAAAATTTCACAGTTAAAAATATGCTGAGAAATAATTTTTTATAATTAAATTAACTTACGGACAGCTCTCATCGAACTCCTTCTCGTTTTCTGGAAGCTCAGAAAGTTTATAAGCTTCACATGTGCTAGAAGCACTCTTCTGACAATAACTATACTGTTATAGAGCTCCTGGAAAAGAATTAAACAAAAAATGTAAGGTTTGTATTACGTGTAGACAACAATTTTTCTAGTTTGTTTTGTTATATTTTGCTTACAAGTTTAAATTCCCTTAGCTAGAAAACGCCTTTAAATTTACATACAAAGTTCACAGACAGATAAAAATAGGATGCACATATATTAGCTGAATAGAAAATCTTTAACAACTATTCAGTAAAAAAATATTAAGATACTTCTGACAAGGAAAATGACTTATAATAGTATAAAAATTGTTCATTATAAGCAAATATTCTAAATTAAAAATACTATAAAAAATCTGAAAGTTTGCAGATTTTAAGTTACGTTCAAAGGAGCATTTTTTTAGCATTTTGTATGTTGCCTTTACTTCTTAAATATCATATTCTGTGCACTTAAACCATAAAATTCAGTTCAACGGCAATGTTGCAAAATAATTTTAGATTGAGCCTATCTTTAGAATTACAGTCTCACGCGCTGGAGATAAAAATGTTTTTTCTGTACAACGTTGCCATCGTTCGCTTTGAAATCCTTCAGTTTTTTGTGAAAGTTTTTCAAAATATGAAAACGATAATAAAACAAATTCCAAATTTCAAATTTGGGTTTCCAGATGCCCAAATTTGCAGTAGGATTACGTCATTCAAAATTGGATGGCTCTAGGTACCGTTGTTTTATAACAATGCGAGAAACATAATTACATTGATGCAGATTCTTCATTATTTAATTTCTTTAAGTATAACACTGGGTGGCAACGATTTGAAAAGTGATACAGTCTTTTAAATGTTTCGACGCAAAATCCCCAAACGAAATTAAAAGTCCCGAAGAGCAAATTACCTCTTTGGACTAAAAATACAACATTAAAAATGTTATAGAAGCTGTAATTATACGTATTTAAGATTATAAACATAAGGGCATCTGGATGGCATATAAGCCTGCACAATGAAAAAATAACCGGCCAGTTCTTGAAATTGAAAAATTCCGTCTTTCTTTCTTTTTTTTTTTTTTTTTTTTTTCTTTTTTTTTTTTTTAGGGGTGGGGCTTGGATTCAGAGAACTAGCTTTAGATTTTCTTCCATTTCTGAGAGAGACCGCAAGCAAACTAGTGATATTGCATTTCATTCAATGTTTAGGCCAGGGTTTCAAAATTCTTTCCTTGTATCGACTCTTTTTAAAAGAGCTGTTTTTTTAAGAACCCCCCCCCCTTATATTTTCCTCTGTAATATAAAACCTTCAATAGAATCATAATTTCTCTCTTTTTTCGCTTAGTAAATTATTGACTTAACAAAAGTTTTTTTTTTTTTTTTTTTTCTTTTAAGTAAGATTAATTAATAACTTTGTCGATAACAGATTTTAGTCAAATGTTTATTTTTTGCTCTTACTACTGCATAAAATATTTACATATTTAAAACGTATTATACATTTATATATATATATATATATATATATATATATATTAAATAATTGGACATTTATGGTTATACAGAGGATGTTTACACATTTTTAGAAAAAATTCAGAACTGTTGAGTTAATATTTAAAATGTAAACAGTATTTTTAAAGTATTCTTTCCTATAGCTTTCCTTCTGGCCTATACGCCTGTGTTGTGATTTTCCTGTCCAGAATGTCCTGGGACAGTGTTTTCCATTCCTCTTCATCTAATTTCCGCAGTTCATCAATCACTTAGAAATTAGTGGTGGGTTTTCTCTGAGAAGCAGATTTTGTCAGGAAACCAAAGGCTCAGAAGTCCATAGCTGAAACATTAGGACACTTTTCAGGGATGCTTACAATGTATATATGCAATACCTGTATCAGTCTTCATTTGATTATAAAATGTAATGGTAATTTTCAAAGTATGACTTATTGCTTTGTCTTGATCAAGTATCATGCTTTGAAAGTCACTGGAATGAAACGGGAGAAAATGGAAGTCAAGAAATGGAATTTCTTCTGTAAATATCGGACATAAAATATCTCTTGATACTGCGTTGAATTCATTTTAACATTTTTTCCCCATTCTTATTATTTTTTATTTCCTTTTGTAACAGAATCCTGCTACATTCGCATTACTAAAACATTCTTTACATTGACGGAACAAGGTTCGTACAATTTTTTACTTTTCGTTTTCGATAATAAATAAATTCCTTTTTTTGTCGCAGGTGAACACATTCTTCATCGAGGTTTGCAACATATTTCGATATATCCTCTTCTAAATAGTTTTCATACAGGGTTAAACGAATGGTTCTGCTTTGAACCAGATGCCTCGGCAAAAACCGGTGATCATTATGACTTTTAGCTTTCTTAAGTTATAAATTTTTCTTTATTATTTTATTTGTTGTTTGTTAGAGATGTGTTTAACACTTAAGAATTTATTTCTGCATTGGAAGATTTTCTCTTTTTATCAACGACTTAACTTTAGAAACAGTAGCTACCTTTCTCGTTTGGTTTCTTGTTTTTAGGTAGGAGTAATGACTGACGATTTTTCTCTTTCCGATTAATAATGTCTCATATTTTGCATTTAAAAATTTTAGTATCATGTATCTCACATCGTTTCTGAATCATAGAACAAAAGTATTTTTCTTCGGAAAGCGCACAAATATGTCCTTCAATCCACAGGTTGTTTATAGGAGTCATTTTGAAAGAAGAATAAACTTAAAAGTAGCAGGTCAAATAATAAGCTATTTCCTAATAGCTTATTCCAAAACATTCGCTCTTTTCTCTTTAATTCTTTATCAAAAGTGTTCTAAAAATCTGTAAACGTCCTCTGTATTTATTTTATATGTTTTCTTCCTTGCTTACTGTTACAGCTTCCTTATTGTTACAGCTTTATATCAATAAATAGTCAATAATTAGTTTTATAAATATATTTTTGTAATTAATAGGTTCTTGATTATGGCGATCAAACCCAGGTACATATTTCTCTCTCGACTGCCAGTCAATCACTTGACCGTCGCTTAAATCCTTTAAGTTTTCTTTGAGCCTTTAGGATTCATTACGGACACAGATGGAAAACTCTTTTTAGACATTGTCTTAAACATGCATACTACAGTTAGTGTTTTATCACTGAAATTACAAATAAATAGCATTGAATACGGAATGTAGTTTATATAATATATGCAAAAAATATAATTCAAACTGCTTCTGAGAAACATTATATCTCGATACAATTATAAGGTAAGATAAGGAACAGCAAAAAGGTACTTGATATGCTACGTCAGAGTCTTAATATTATCGATGTCTCACGCCTTTCCAAAACACAACGGTCTATATTCTTTGATATGCAGGTAAAGGTATACTTACCGGAAACTCACAACTCGATTTCTTCCAAGGTTTTAAACCCATAAACAAGTTTTCGATAAGAAAATCTTGAAGATTCATGCTTTTGTTCGCGCTGGCATTACATTTTATATCGTTTAGTAAACAATTTCTTTAATGCGAGTATTTTTGCTGTATGAAAATCTTTATAAAAATTTGGTAAAATATATACTACATATTTTTCACCATGAAATTGTCAAAAAAACCAGATAAAACGAAAGTTCTCGAAAATTGTTTCGTATCCATTTAAAACGCGAAAAATTTTAAACATGTCAAAGAAATTACATGAATGTTTTTTTTTTTTTTAAATTTTTTTTTTTACTTTCGGGTTATAAAATTCTAACTAATTTAAAATTCTACAAGCCGAAAACAAAAAAAGACACATTTACTTCGCTTAAGAATGAACGTGCCTATAGATGTCACAGGAAAATCCCTTTTGAATCCATTTTATCGTACATTTTCGAAAAAAAAGGTAATCCTTTACTCTGTGCATACGTACAGATGCCATGCAAATAAAGATTCTAAACGGATATTTTGGTTGAAATATGATACCGAAATTTTTCTAGATTACAGTACTTTTTCTACTTCGTATAATTAGGTAAAAAACTCAAAAAATAACTTATTCAAATCATTTTATTTACCAGAGCGTTTTCAAAGCAAAGAGATTTTAAAACAGATGATCAGTAGTATATGTGAAAGAAATATAAATTCATTTCTCCAATATTTAGTAACTGATATTTGCAAATAAACTTGAAAAACAGAAGTGTGCGAAATCAAATGTGACCCCTTGTATGCATTTGTCTATTCTATGCTTTGAAAATTATTCAATAATTACTACATAATAGAATAAAACATACTTCAAACACGCATTATTAAAAATAAACAAATTTAATTGATCATTTTAATTCAGAAAGTACTAGAATTTTAAAAACATTTGTCTAGTTCTTTCTCATTATAGGTGAAGTGACCTTTCAGGTAAACGATGCACTTTTTTAAAATTCTTTCTGTTACCATTTTTATAGAAACGAGAGATTAAGTCTGCTTCGCAATTCCAAATATTTAGTTATTAACTAACGTATACCTCACCTGCAGAAGTGACAACTAGAGCGGTTACGATAGGAAGCCACATTTTCATCCAAGACTCCATGAGTGAATAAAATAGTCAGAAAAGATTCTGTATGCTTCTTTATATTTGGGTAACATCAACGCGATTAATTTCTTATGCACGTGTAATTAAAGTTGCGGATATAAGCAATCTATTTCCTCCATGACCTTCTTGCCTTCCGGTATCCATGGAGTATTGCACATCAAGATTTAATAGAATTAGTGGCTATCAGACACTTTTTTCATTAACTCAAAAGGAGTTAGCCCAGAAGAGCTATTAATTTCGTTTTGACATTTTGCGTGGAAAACTTTAAAAGTTCGAACCACTTTTCAAACTGTTGCCACCAAATATTATCGCTCTGTGTTATATTTGAAAAAATTAAATAATGAAGAAGCTGCATAAATGTATGCCTGTTTCTCGCATTGTGATAAAACAACGGTACCTAGAGCTATCCGATTTTGAATAACGTACGTTTCCACCCGAATATGGACATCTGCAAGCCCAAATTTGGAATTTATTTTATTATCTATTTCGTATTTTGTAAAACATTAACAAATTTTTGATTAACAAACTCAAAGATTGCGAACCGAGTAATGGAACAACGGTACCTAGAGCTATCCGATTTTTAATAACGTACGTTTCCACCCGAATATGGACATCTGCAAGCCCAAATTTGGAATTTATTTTATTATCTATTTCGTATTTTGTAAAACATTAACAAATTTTTTATTAACAAACTCAAAGATTTCGAACCGAGTAATGGTAACACTGTATTTAAGAAACATAATCTCTAGCGCGCGAGACTGTGTATCGTTTATTCTACAGATATGCTCTTTTCAAATTATTTTGGGATATCGTTCTTGAATAAAATTGTATGATTTAAGTGCGAAGAACGTGATACTTAATAAATAAAGGTAACACACAAAACGTTAAAAATTGGACGTAGTATAAAATCCGAAAGCTTTCAGATTTTTTTAAAAAAAATTAGCAGTTGTAAACCTAGCTACGAGTTGAGTCATGACTGAAATAATATAAACAAATACTTAAAAGTTTCAAAAAACAAATGGAAGAAAACTAATAAATAAAAATGTATGATTTAAACACAATTACCTTTCAACTAAATTAGTTTGAAACACATCGGTTGAAAAGTTATAAAATGCGAAGTAACTCCAATAAAAAAATCATCGAGTCGAATGTTTAGTCTGTGGAATCATTAGGACTTTTCATGTCGAAGACGAGAAAAATATGCAGTGTCGTCACCGGGATTCGAACTCCGGGCCTCCCGACTACGCGTCGACTGTGCTTCCAATTACACTATGCGGAAACGGAGGTAGAAAATACCTTTTATAAGTTTGTTTAGTAAGACAAGTCACGAAACGTTTTTAAGCCCAAAATGGTGTTAGCCCGAAACTGCTGGAAGCGGGATTTTGGTACATCCACTATAAACGGCAAATAACTTTTCAAATCGTTGTCACCAAATATTATCACCCTGTATTATTTTTAAAGAAATCAAATAATGAAGAATTTGCATGTGTGTATGTATTTTCCTCGTATTGGGGAAAAATCAACTGTACGTAGAGCCATCCAGTTTTGAAAAACGTAGTCCTTCATCCGAACATGAGCAACTGGAAGCCCAAATTTTAAATTCCGAATTTTTCATTTTATATTTTGTAAAATTTTATTATTATTATTATTATTTTGATTAACAAAATGATTTAAAAGCAAGTGGTGGCAGTACTGAACGGAATAAAAATATTTTTATTCCCAGTGCGTGAGACTATCTTTCACAAATTCTAAAGATAAGCTGTTTTTAAATATCTCGCAGTGTAAATGGCAGCACATCCGGCTGGCAGTCTGAAAATTCATGCTTGGAATCTCGGCGAGAACATGGATGATTACGAATGCTTGTAAAAGTAATATCTCCACATGCTTTGAGTGTTCCGCCTGACACGAACTACCTTACTAATTCTTTGGCAATTCGTTGCCAATTATTTGAATAATTGAAAAATATTTCTGTTTTAAATACTGCAACCTGCATTTTCAAAGCTGATTTCAAATTTAAAAAAGGTATCTTTCAGAAATTCTACTTAGAATCCCATTCAAATAGTTCTGATAGCGACTATTTTTAGGTCGTTTTCATTTATCCGCTTTATTAGCATTTTCTTGAAATTCTTTAAAAATCGGTAAATGCAGCTTTGAAGGACAAAGAGTAAGCGCAAATATTTAATTATAAATTTAAATGAATATCTCTTAACTAATGAAGAGGATCAGGTGCACATTAAATTAAAATAGTAAGATTATGCTTTGATTATTCTTAGTCTAAACCCTGAGTTTATGTTTATTATCTGTCGCAAATGTAAAGTTTGTTACCTGTAGGACATTTTTGGTCGCTTACAATTTGTAATTCAAATTTATTAATACTTAAATAATAAATGTTTATTTAACTGACATTTATTTCAACTTATTGTAATATGTTTAATTAGTAATAGAATAACTTATTTTAGAAAATAAACTAATTATAAAATCTTCGAAAGTGCGACAAAACTTGACAATAAATTACTTAATATCTTTCTTTTATTAGTATGTCAATTCACGATAAACGTCGGTTCACTTTTCAAATTGTTGCCGCCAAATATTAGAGCCCTGCCTTCTATTTAAAGAAATTAAATACTAAAGAATCTGCATAAATCTATGTATGTTTCTTGCATTGTGATAAAACAACGGTACCTAGAGCCATCGAATTTTGAATAACGTACGTTTCCACCCGAATATGGGCATCTGGAAGCCTTAATTTGGAATCTGAAATTTGTTTTATGATCTATTTCATACAGCACTGTAAGGGAAAAAAAAAATGTCTTTAGCGCGCGAGACTGTGCATCGGAAATTCTAAAGATAGGCCCATTTTAAAATTATGTTGCGATATTGCAGAATTGAATTTTATGGTTTGAATACGTAGAAAGTGATATTTAATAAATAAAGGTAACGCACAAAACGCCTCTTTGGGCGTAATGTAAAATCTGAAAGCTATCAGATTTTATTTTATTTTTATTTTATTAAATTATTTATCCAAGCGTAAATAAAAATACGTATACAATGACCTAAACAGTTATAAACTTCTATACTACAGCTTGACATTTGATGGCGTATTGATTCTGATTAGTCAGTTGGATTCTTTTGTTATTAATTTTGAACTGTGAAAAAACAATCTGTTCATATACAAACTTATTCCCAACAAAGCCTTTATTCTTAATGGAGAAATTCGTAACTGAGTTTTATTTTTTGGCAGGTGAGAATAGAACTTATTGTATATCGTAAAACCTCTAACTAAGACTTATATGATATTGTAACTTAATTAGTTTTATCTGTAAATTTTGTGTGGCTTTATTCGTGTTCGTGTTTAATAGTAATGAAAATACACTGGTGTGCAAAAATTAAGGACGAGACGGTTTTTTCAATATAACTTTGTACAAAAGCTTTCCAAATCAACACATTTTATACCGTAAGATCCGCAATACGTAAGGACATGAGTAATGTAAGCAACACTTACTAAAAGAGAAATCAGAGGGATAAAAAGAAGCTTTATTGAAAAAGTAGCATGGAGCGCAATGCGACTGAAGGCCGAAACATCCCTGTGATGGGTGTCCAGCAAGAAACATACAGTCTATAATAGGGGATATGATATCCCCTGACTGCTAGGCAGGTTTCACAGCGTCTGCCTATGCTGAGAATGAGGGTGTCAATGAGTTGTTGAGGCATTGCTGCCCATTCGTCTTGCAGCGCCAATTGAAGCTCCGGAATCGTTACTGGTGGTACGGTACGAGCTGCCAAGCATCTGCCTAGAAAATCGCATACATGCTCGATGGGATTGAGATCCGGAGATCGTGCCGGCCAATCCATACGTTCAATATCCTCACTCTCTAAGAGCTGTTCGGCAGCTACTGTGCGATGACATGGTGCATTGTCGTCCATGAAAAGGAACTGCGGACACATAGAGCCTCTAAAAAGACGCACATATGGAAGAAGAATCTCGTTACAATAACGGGTTCCGTTGACTGAACCTGCGACGAATATGTGAAGGGCTGTACGACTACCAAGCATGATGCCTCCCCAAACGAGAACACCGCCACCTCCATACCTGTCCCTTTCAATGATGTTCGAGGGATGATTGCGGCTTCCCCACTCTCTCCAGATGAGTATGCGATGAGAATCGCTACTCAGACTGAATCTGCTCTCATCTATCTGTAAAGAGTACTCGTCCCCATTCATTGTCTCTCCAATTCCGGTGTTCCCGGCACCACAGAGAACGCCTTCTCCGATGGGCAGGCGTTAGAGGTACACACCGTACAGGGCGTCGTGCAAACAGACCACCACCGTGCAGTCTTCTGGCCACGGTAAAACGCGATATCGGTCGTCCAGTAGCCTGTGTCGTGTGTCGAGCGATTTCTCCCGCTGTCTGCCGCCTGTTTCTTCTGGCCTGTAAGGCAATATACCGGTCATCTGCGGGTGTGGTTCCTCGTGGACGACCACTACTAAACCCCCGGATAGCTGTTCCTGTAGTTTGAAATTGTCTCCAAAGTCGTGAAACGATGCTGTGAGCAATTCCGAACTCTGCAGCCACACTTTTCACACTGCGGTCTTCCTCCAACTTCCCAATGATTCGAACTCGGGTAAAAGCATCCAGATATCGTCTAACAGATTGATTATTCGCCATTTCTCGCTGAGGCAGCAACTCGGTGTGATTTTAACTGCTATACGGCGTGCAATCTCTTTGCCAGAAATACTGATCTTACACCGACAACATGTTTTATACTACTCAGACACCCCCATTACGTCTACCTGCATATCTGCGCATGTGCTACCGTACATCACCTTACTTAATCTCCTGATTGGTCTTTCTGTCTGCTCTGCCTCTTCGTTCAGCTGATATGCTAATTTTTCGACTTCGTCCTTAATTTTTGCACACCAGTGTATGTCAACATTCACTTCAAATAAGCAAACTTTTGCAACTTTGAGTTTGCAAGAATTCAAAGGTGTTCATAATAATTGAAATGCATATATGTTATGTAAAAAACAAAAACAAAAAAACAAACAAACAAAAAAAAAACTTGTATGTTATGCATTTTCATTCCCATTCAAAAATCTATACAGCGTAAATTTATTGCCTAAAACATGGAGGTGCCAACGTTTGAGAATCACATGATAAGAGGTACTTGCATGATATAAGGAAAGTAATATTTTTATGCGACAATTACAAATGCCATGGGCCCACCAGCGGCCAAGCGGCAAAAATCGCTAAATACTGGTAGTTCCGACTTGGATTCAATTCCAGGCAAATGAGCTAGCTACATGAACGTTTTCCCCATATGTAATGTGTACAGGAGCCGTTGTCTCTTAAAAAGTCCTACACGATGGAATTTATCGGGGATTTAGGCAGATAGTCACAGTGTGCTTTGCCATAATCTACCACACCAAACGGTACAAATGCCGTATTTGAGCTGCTAAGTAAAGAGAAATCTATAGCTGAGGTCAGCGTTAATGGATATTTTATAATAATAAACATTTTAAAATTTGTGTTCAAAATATTGCATGAAAATCTTTAGAAGTGAGTTGAACGTAGACCAAGACACATAAGCATAGCATAAGAACAGAAATGGAATTAAACATTTTCTCGTGTTTGGCTTTTTGTGGAATTCCCTAAAACTTGCGAATTAAACCTTATTAAATTTTGTTACAGATTTGCTGTCCTATGTTCTTTATAGTACAGAACTGTAAAAGGTGAATTATTTATAAGGACTTCATTAGAATATAAATTACGTTAATGAAAAATATTTATAAATTACGTAATCTGTAGAAAAATTTCATCTGGATTAGACAAAAATAATTAACATCAAACTGCATCAGCAGCGTACATTCGCGTATTCTCTAAAGAGAACAAACTTTATTTCGAATGCTTTGTCAAGCTTAGCACCTTTACCCTTTTTCTGTTTAACTGTAGCCGGAAAAGTTACTCCTGCCATACTAGCTGCCTAATAAAAAGAGACCGGCCTTTTTGCTCAAGTTTCACTTTTGAACTATGACTTAATTTAGAAGACATTCTTGCTTTATTAAAATAGGAAGAACTATTTAGTGTGCAGGCAATCAAAAGTACGTACAAAACATATTCAATGCTACACCCATTTTGCACTCAAATATTATTTAATGTACTCGAAACGGGTTTCTTCCTGTATGTGTTTCGTCCAGTTGATCTTTCAGATCTCCAACAGTATTTCTTCGAGTCGCAGTTTTTCTGCAATGCTGATTTCCATAGCTGGGATATCTTTAATAAGCTCTTCTCTCATACTTCTGGGGCACTTATTCTCCCTTCCGAGATAATCAGCACGTTGGGCCATTTCTAGAATGGCAGTCTTGACCGTACTGCCACATGGTGCTAAAACAGCATCACTGGCACAAGTAAGTGAGTAAGCGTCGCTCCTGTAAAGACAACAAGATATGAATTAAAACATAATCGAGGGGGAGGAGTTCTGAATAGAGAGTATTTATCTCTATATAGTTTAGATGCATTTTTCATAAGGAATATTGCCTTTATCTGATTTATACGCTTTATTACATTTCTGTGGAATGAAGCAAGAGGAGAAATGCATCAGTTGCGTTACTGCGTTACATCACATGATATGACAGAAAGATAACCGTTTTATGAATAAAAGTAACTTATTTTTGGCCTGAAATCTCAGTTACACGAAATGCAAGAGAACAACAGCTCCAATAGTCTCTACAAACATTTCCGACGAATTGTAAAAAAAAGTCACATGAATTATTATTACTTTTATAAAATCATTAGTAATAAATACTTTAGCATAATTGAAATTGCGCATTTTGAGACATTTAAAGAAATATTTTTAATCTGGTATCTGTTTCTTACAAATGTTATGCAACTCGGAATAATATCGCCTTTGTCTCTTGATCACGCCGCAACTGTTTTCCGAAATGTAATTTTTACAGGTAAACTATCTTCACACTTAAAAGGAAAATAGGAAAGACTCCCAGTACTTCAGCCCATATTGCTTTGAAGAAAATAGAGCTCATTTTGTACAGTAAAAAAGAATGGTGTGAATTCAAATTAGCTGCGAAGTCATTGTAAATAACCTCAAAATGTTAACTGTGAAACGTTTGTTCGCCAAAGCCGAACGTTTACAAGATTTACAAGATATTTTTTAGGTTTAGGCTTATTTGATTACAGCAATGTACGCTAGGCAGTGGAAAGATCCCTTGGTGGAGGACGTTCAAAGAGAAATGGCTCGCAACCATGTTACGCATGAGCAAAAAACACGAAAATGTCCATGTAGCCAGCCCGTTCACTGATAATCGAACTATCAGTGTTCAAGGACAGCTAGGCCACTGGTGGGCATTTTCAGGTATTTTCTCCTTCTTCACTGGGTACCTTCCTGGTATAACTGGTTACACTAGCAGCTAGCAATTGCGAAGTCTGGAATTTGAATATCGGAGACAGACTTGGACATTTTTCACGTCTCCTGCTTCAAAGTTGCCTAAAGTTGTCGAATGTTCCTTACACACTTGACAATATTTAAACTTACTTTTGAATTGTTGAAAAATCGTTAAATATAATTATATGTTTAAAATGCTATCGATCGCGTTCCATCGAATGTTGCATACATCTAAATCTACCGTTTGCAACTTTTTATACATTACTCCATATAGTGAAAACATTCATAGTATTCTAAGTGATGCAAATGATTTCAGTGATCTATTGAAATCTTTCGCTACTGTTGCAAGCTACAATTTGAAGTAAAGTAATGAAATTGCTTTATATTAATTTATGTTATTGCTACTTACAAGTATTATTTGCTTATATGTAAATACATAAAAATTGTTTCAAAAGAACACAGTAAAGCTAAATTAAATTTAAATAATTCTCTTGCTCCATTGCTGCAAGAAATGAAATTTGAATTTAACAAACATGCTCTATTCGTAAAAAGCAAATTTAATGTTAATTAAATTTTAAATGAAACATCATTATTATTAATGATTTACGTATGCTCTCAGAATTTAAATGATATTGTAGATTAGTTCGCAGCAATAATTAATCATTTATTTGTAATTCAATTAATTAACTTTAAATTTGCTTTTTACGAATAGAAAATGTTTGTTAAATACATAAAAATATGTTTACATTTTTATGTATTTAACAAACATATACAATAAATATATATATACATTTTTTATGTAAATATATGTAAATAAATTAAAAGAATCTGTTCAAATAGAGTATTCAGTTGGTAGAAAATCCATTTCCTGTGAAATTATTTTAGCTTAAATTAACATCTCAACAGAAGTCGTGAATTTTTTTAAAAAAAAAAAAAAAAAATATTAAGTGGAGCAATTATTCCACTTGATTGCTTGCTAACAAATCTTACCATAATTATTTCTCTCGACTAGCAATACCTTTTATTATGTCAAGAGACAAGATCTGTAGAGGAGAAAGATATATAGGGTGTATCAGTACAGCGGTGACAAACTTTCAGGAGAGATACAGCACAACTACACGATAGGAAATCACATAGCAATTTATGTCCGGAAAAGCTATCCCGGCACGGTTGTGATGACAAAAAGCGCAAAAAAGGAACGACACGAACGGGGTGAGAAAACATGTTTATTATTCGGAATTCAACAAATATAAAGAAAAAATAACATAAAGAGCCAACGATCGAATCGTCAAAAGGGTTCAAAATTACGACACGGACCGTTATGCAGGAACCATGCGTCTGGTATCTTTCATGCGATCTCCCATTCGTGATTCAGGCCCACCAGCGGCCGAGCGGTAAAGTCACTGAACACTGGTAGTCGGTCCGAGGTTCGAATCCCGCGAACGGGCTGGCTGCATGGGTGTTTCGTGTTTTCCCCATGTGTAACGGGTATACGAGCCAGTTTCCCTTAGAAAGTCCTCTACGAAGGCATCCCTTCCCTTAGGCAGATAGCCCTAGTGTGCTTTCCATAATTAAATACACCAACACCACACCTATTCGTGATTCAGATCTTCCGTGCGCCAGACAAGTGATGCCTGTATCACTGTCCGGGGTCGTAATTTCGAACACCTTCTTCAAAGACGATCTTTGTTAGTCCAAAGGGGTTTTATCCCTGAAGGACTGTTGTTTTCGGTTTTCAATTTTGCCTTGAATCACTATAAACGGCGAATCCCTTTTCAAACTGTTGCCACCAAATATTAAAGTCCTCCATTATATTTGAAGGAATTAAATAATGAAAAATCTGCATCAATGTATGTATATTTCTCGCATTGTGACAAAACAATGGTACACAAAGCCATCGAATTTTGAATGACGTAATCTTCCTACGGATATGGGCATGGGGAAGCCCAAAATTGAAATTTGGAATTTGTTTTATGATCGATATCCTATTTTGTAAATCTTTAATGAATTTCCGAGTAACAAACTCTCAGCGATTTACAAGGGAGCAATAGCAACACTCTACAGGAAAAAAAAAAAAAAAAAAAAAAAAAAAAAAAAAAAAACTTTTTTTATCTCCAGCGCGCGCGCGGAACTGTGTATCGGAAATTCTAAAGATATGCTCATTTTAAAATTATTTTGCGACATTGCTATTGAACTGAATTTTATGGTTTAAGGGCAAAGAACGTGATATTTAATAAATAAAGGTAGGCCACAAAACGTTAAAAAAAGTCCCTTTAGGCGTAGTTTAAAATCTGAAACCTTTCAGATTTTTTGTTATTTTTATTATAATTTATTTTCATATTTCGTTTTTTCTTTTTGTTCTCGTTTGTAAGTTTCTGCTGTACTAAGCATAATGAAACATGTTTTGTCTCACTGTCTGTGGCCTTCCTTTTTTGTGCTTTGTGTCGTTACTAAAGCGCCAGGAAAGCGTTTCCGACCATTCAACTGCTGTGTGATTTCCTATCGTCTAAGGTATACTCTGTCACTCCTGAAAGTTTGTCAACGCTGTATTGATGCACCCGGTAGATCTTAAAGGGGCATTTTTTAAAAGTAGTATTGAAAACGTTTTCTTCAGTATAAAATTAAAATATACTCTTAAAAAAAGAATGTTTCAGTGAAACATATTTTTAATAAGCAAAAGTATGTTTCACTGTAACATTCTATTTTTAAAATTTATTTATTAATTCGATTTGTAAAAGTTTAAGAGAAATGCGGAAAATTAGAATAATTTACATAGCCTGAATCACGAATTGCTTTATTGAAGTTAAAGTACATTACAAAATGATTTTGAATAAGATAAAATTGAAGGTATTTTTCTTAATGTGAAGATAATTAGATCTCCAATTTCAGTGAAATAAAAGAAGTAAAAATGCATGATCAGAAAATAGGAAGTATATTTACATGCACAAAAGTTTCATCCAGTCCACTTGACCTGTTACGTTTAGGGAATCAACGTAAGCTTGACGCACTTTTCTTATTTTTTCTGAACATTCTTTTATCACGCTTTCTTTGATGCATCCTATATTCTTTGCAATAGCTGTTTAAAAGAGAAGCGCTTTTAAATATGTATTATTTAAAACATAACTTATTTTTAAAACATAACCATATGCCTTAATCAAAACATTTTTTGAAAAATATAAAAACAAATCAAAAAAATTTAAACAAAATGGAATATCGTGTGCATACAGACTCTCTGAACACACACACTCAAAATTTGATGTCACTCAAAATACAACATGATTTTCTTGTACGGAATATTAAATTATACGAAATTTTTTCTGCATTTCATTTAAACTTATTGAATTTAATTAAAATTACTTCGGCGATAACGCATAAAACACAATAGGTTCACTTAAAATCGTCACGCCTCATTCATTTTATAAATTACAATACCCAAAAATTACATTATCTGAAGAATTATTTAATAGTTATCATATGTTCTGTTCAAATACTATAATAAATCCCAAACGATGTATAAAAGTAATTAAACAAATAAAAAGGAGCATTTTTTCCCAGACGACTCAGTATTTCTCATTCAATAAATACAGTTCTTACTTTGCGACAAGGCAATAATACATAAAAGCTCAAATTATCTATATTAAAAATTACGCGTTAAATCTTAAACACTTATGTTTCATCAGACGGTATAGTGATTAGGGAAGCCTGCGATACCGAAGGGCTGAGGTTCGCATCTCGGAGAATGTGTGGATATAACTGTCAGTCCCTTCCTAGGAGGCAAAGGTGCCTCATCTATTGGATTCCTCCCTAATAAAGAGACCACCACATCTGGGCTTAAGAGTGGCCGATGCCGACATAAAAAAAGAAATCTTATTTCCTCGAATATATTCCAAAATGGATTAAGCATGATTTAATTCACAATAATAAAAGAAGGCATTATCTTTGTTCTTGCGAAGCTTAGTTTCTCTAGATTGTCAACAAATCTACCGTTCTGTTAAGTTTCAAATGTAAACAAACATGGCTGCTATGATGAAAATAATTCGGCTTAGTCGCAATTAAACAACTTTTAAATTTTTGATAATTTTACAAATATTGCATTCATATTTACTAAAGGCATAAAAACGTAACCGGAAGATATGAACAACATAATTAAATCATTTTTCAAGTAAAAAAAATGCGCAGTTTAACGAAAATATAAGAATAAAAAAACAGCTCGCAGAGCCGAGTAACAGGTCGGTATATATATTACCCACCCTGTACGTACGTACAGACGCCACGAAGAAAATATCTTCAGAATCCATTTCAAATCAGTTTCAAAACTCGTTTGGGGAAAGAGTGTCCTTTATTCTGTCCATACGTACAGATGTCACCCAAAAACACATCATTCAGTTGCCTTCCATAGCGGTCAAAATCGATATTTTCGTTGAAATATACTCACTTCCAAAAGTTAAGCACGGATATGTAAAATGCAAAAAAATCAACAAATACTGCTTTGATTGACACAAAATTCGGCAGGAAAGTAGCATATATATTTATGTACAAAACAAAATCAATAATTACATACAGAAATAAAAGCAATATTAAATTTTTGTAAGTTATCAGATAATGACATACTGGAGACTTAAACAGAATTATGTATAAAGTGATAATAAACAGTATAAAATGATCAAAATGGGCATTAATAGGGTATGTGATTCCCCCTCATCTGTATACAAAGTTTACACCTTGTGACCATGCTTTCAATTAGGTTGTCAAACACCACAGAATAAAGCAATCGCCATTCTTCTTGTGCAGCAGTTTCCAGCTACATAAGAGTGGCTGGAGGTGGGAAACGCGAAGATACAGCACGGCCGAGAGCATCCCAAAGATTTTCAATGGGATTAAGTTTGGACGAATATGCTGGCCACGCCATACGCGCAATCCCTCCACTCTCCAGGTAGTCTTCGACGATGTCAGCTCTATGCGGACTTGCGTTATCGTCCATTAAAACAAAAGTAGGGCCAACAGCTGCAGGGTGCAATCACACATTGGGTTCTAGGACTTGATCTCGATACCGGACTGCCGTCAAAAATCCCCGTTTTAAGATGTGCAGGTCGGTGTGGTATCCTCATGAAATCTCTGCCCACACCATAATGCTTCCGCCTCGGAATGCATGATGTTCGGTGATGTTTTGGGACAGATTGCGTATTCGTTGTTCACGCCATATCCTTATACGCTTGCCATCTGGCTCCAGAGCAAATCTTGACTCATCAGTAAACATAACATAGCCCCGGTCAGACATATTCCATTTGACATGTTCTTGGCACCACTGTAATCGTGCGCCTGTTGATTGGACGGGTAGAGAAACACAAACTCGAGGTACCCGGGCGTACAGTCCACTCATATGTAATCTTAGGCGTAAAGTAGCTGCAGATATCGCTTTACCTATGGACGTTGTAACCATAGATGTCACACGTGTGAAGGTCGCTCTGCGATTCCGCTTTTCTACAGTAGCAATATATCGATTTTCCGCGGGGGTTGTAACCCTTGGGCGACCGGCTGCGGGCCTTCGGACAACTGTCTGTGAGGTTTGGAATTGTTTCCATAAACGTGAAATTACAGAATGATGAATGCCGAAGAAAAGAGCAGCATCTGTGATCTACTGTCCTGCTTCAATGCACCCCACAGGAAGCCAGCGCTCAGAATTTTCCATTCGTCTTCTGGAAGTCATAGAAACACGTATGTCTTGAAAACAAATTGAACGAAAAGTTTAAACGCCTCATATCAGCACTCACAATCAACTTCTGTAACCCTTCATAAAGCTGGCTTCTGATAAGACTGTCTTTTTTGCATATTTCTTGACATGAAAGCGCGATTGGCTGTTACCTAACATATTTCCATACTTCCAACTACCTATGCAGCGAATTGCATCCTCATCAATTCTGATTGTCTTCCGGAAATTAGCATTGTCCTCTCCGTGCCTAACTTTTGGAAGTGATATTAACTGAAATTTTTCGTGATTACAACACTTCCGTTTTACTTCGTACAAGGAAGTAGAAAAGAAAGGGAGTTCTATATCTCTCTACTAGGCCGATTAACATCTCGAAAGCGCGACTTAGGATATATATTATATTAAATTTATATACAGCATCGTTGTAGCATACCTCTTCTGTCACAGACTTTTTCTGTTATAACATAGCGATATTTTTCGATATTTTGATTATATGACTCAAATTATGTCAATGTGCCAAGTTTGGTAGAAATCGAACGAGTTGTTTTTAAAAAATTAAGTTTCAAAATTTTAGCTTCTCCGAGCTAATGGAATTTGTATATTTTCATTAATATCTTTTTTTATTTAACTTACTTGATTCCTTCTCTAGGAGTTCAAAATTTCGGTTCAATTCGAATAAATTTCGGTTCAATTCAAATAAAGTTCGCAGGTATTTTCCGATTTATTTTAAAAATTTTTATTTTTAAGCAATATTTATATACTTTTCGAAAACAATTTCTTCCCCAAAATTTCGCATAAGAGGTACTTGACTTATAGTGTATTGGCGCGTTTTAAAATTTGGCATAATTGTTATAAGCGGTAATAACGCCAAATATGTTTTTCTCACTTTGTTAAAATAATTTGAAAGAAGGAACACAATATCTTTTTTTTTTTTTTTTTTTTTTTTTCGCTACTGCGCAAGAAAGGGGAAATAGGTTACGATAATTTAAGAATTTTGCCAAGTGAATAATTCTGTGCGCCTAGATAATTTTTTTTAAATTTCTCGCCATATTTTATAAAATTTAATATTAAGGAATAATTTGAATCGTAGAATCGAAATATGGGAAAAATTCGATATGCTTTTAGAAAAAGTCCGTTTTCATGTCAAAATATTTATGTTAGAAGAGTGCTTTATCTGAATCTAAATTGTATCCTAATTCGAGCTTTCGGAATATAAAAAACACGAAATTAAATTTCGTCAGTCTGTCCTGTAAAACGAGAGATGTATAATTGTTCCATTTTATGCCCAAGCAGCATTTCTCATCGTATGGTGACAGCTCGTAAATGAAGTGATTTGTTTTGGTTTCTGAGGAATTATTCCCATACGTTTCTGAGAAAACGTTTCGTAGTGAGCTATTATGTTTTGGAAGCATTCGACATTTTTACTTTCTTGTACGAAGTAAAAAGGAAGTATTGTAATCGCGAAAAACTTCAGGCATCATATTTCAAGGAAAATATCCATTTTGACAGCTATCGAATGCAATTTAACGATATTTTTGCGTGACATCCGTACGTAAGAACAGAATAAAGGACTCTTTCCCCCCAAAAAATTATAAAACTGATTTAAACCGAATTCTGAAGAGAGCTTTTCGTGGCGCCTGTGCGTATGCATATACGTATCTCGCATAACTCAAAAACGAGTAGCCACAGAACGTTGAAATTTTGTATGTAGGTTTGCTATAGCATGTTAGATGTGCAGTTCGTATTTTGGTTGCAATCGTATATAAATATATGTATATATCTCCACTCTATTACTCGGCTCAGTCATCTCAGTCTCTTTATTCTTATATGTTTGTAAATTGTGCATTTTTTGCTTTAAAAAATGATTGAATTATATTGTTCTTATCTTCCAGTTGAGGTTTTTATACCTTTATACATATCCACTCTGTTAACCAGCTCAGTGATCGCAGTTTCTTTACAATTTAAAAGTTGTTTAAGTGCTGTTAAGCCTAATTATTTTTGCATTGGCGGCCATTGATTGTTGACTTTTGAAACAGCAGAATAGTAGATTTGTTGCCAATCTAGAGAGAAAAGGTTTCCCAATAACAAAGGTAACGCCTTGTTTTATTATTGCGAATTAAATCATGCTTAATCTATTCTGGAACTTATTCGAGGAAATAAGTATTTAAGATTTACTTCATAATTTTCAATGCAAATAATTTGAAGTTTTATGTATTTTTGCCTTGTAGCGATGTGCGAACTGAATTAATCGAATGAGAAATACTGACTCGTCTGTGAAAACTTTTTTTTTTGTTGTTGTTCTTTGCTTAATTACTTTTATACACTGTTGTATATTTATTATGGTATATGAATAGCACATGTGGCAACGATTAGATAATTCTTAAGATGATAAAAATTTTGTGCTTTCTGAGTTAAAAAAATGTATGAAATGTCACTGTTAAGTAAACCTAAGGCCAGAGTATCGCTATGGTAAACAAATATAGTGAATTTTAAAGCGTGTATTTATTCTATTGTGGTTTATGCGCTATGGACGAAGTACATATAATTAAATCGAGTAAGTTGAAATGAAATGCAAGAAAAAATGCGTATAATTTAATATTCCATACAAGGAAGTCATGTGGTGTACACATCCGATTTTTTCATATATATAAAGGGCCCACCAACGGCCGAGCGGTAAAGTCGCTGAACACTGGTAGTTCGGTCCGAGGTTCGAATCCCGCGAACGGGCTGGCTGCATGGTTGTTTTCGTGGTTTTGCCCATGTGTAATGTGTATACGAGCCAGTTTCCCTTAGAAAGTCCTCCACGAAGGCATCCCTCCTCTTAGGCAGATAGCCCTCGAGGCTTTGCCATAATCACACACACACACACATATATGTAAAGATTATTGCAATGTGGTTAAGAAAAATCTCTTCGCCTAGCATATCTGTTGCAAGTTTATACAATCTATTTGTAAAGTTCCCATTTAATTTGGTTGCCAAATGAGGATTAAAATAACGAAATACGGGTGTTTTCTGAAATCTACGCATTATTCGCAACGATATTTTGAGAAGATGACAATATAATGCATATCATACTTTTTTTGAGTGCATGTACGTGCTTACACAGAGCACTAGAGTGCTACTAGAAAAGCCGAAAATTTGGTTTAACTTCAAACACGTTCATTTTTTAAATGTAATTTTTTAAATAAATGTTTAATGTCCTTTTAAAACCAAAAATTCTATAAGTTTAAGAAAACAGCTGTTATGTATAAGCATAGAATTATCTAAATGCAGTGTATTCTCATTTACGTGGGCTTGGATTATCTGGTTTGCGGACTGTCCGTACGTGGCAGTGTCCCCACGCTCACACTGAGCGCTATGCACGGGAAACACGCGCCAGTCCGAGCGTGTTCTAAAAACCGCTGAAGTGCGAGTTTAGGTTTAGTTTCAACGATTACTTCGTGCAATTAGTTGTGCATATACACAGTCGAAGATGTTTTGGTGGATCAGACGGATTGTTTTACTTCCTCGTTCAAAGTATAGGTAGTATTGTAATCACGAAAAATCCGGGTATCATATTTCAAAGAAAATATCCATTTTGACTGCTATCGAATGCAATTGAACGATGTTTTGGCGTGACATTTGTACGTAAGGACAGAATAAGGGACTCTTTTCCCCAAACGAAGTATAAAACTGATTTAAAATGGATTTAGAAGAGATTTCGTCTTTGCGTCTGTACGTATATATATATATACAGCCTAGTGACACGGCTCCGTGAGCTCAGTTTTTTTTTGTTCTTATATGTTGGTAAATTGCGCATATTTTGCTTTAAAAATGATTGAATTATGTTGTTCTTATCTTCCGGTTAAGTTTTCTAAGCTTTTAGTTAATCTGCATGCAATAGTTGTAGAATTACCAACATTTTAAAAGTTAGACTAGACTAGAGTTGAATTTAAAAGTTGTTGAGAGACTAGAGTTGAATTTAAAAGTTGTTTAAGTGCGGCTATATCTATATAATACTTTTCTTACCATAGCAGCCATATTTGTTTACATTTGAAACTTAGCAGAATAGTGAATTATGTTTTTATGCACTTTCAGTATCTTTTTGCGGAGTGGGATCAAAACAAAATATTTAGTTTTTGGGAACTGAATTAATTGAATGAGAAATATGTCTCTAATGATATTCGAAATGATGAGTTCAAATGAAATGCAGGAAAAAATGCGTACTATTTCGTATTCCGTAGAAAGAAGTCTTGAGTTGTACAGATCAGGGTTTTACATCCTATGTTTGTTTATATCATGCGGGCTGTGAAATCTAAAGAACAGTCTCTGTTTACACGCATTATAATTTATTTGATTTAGAGCTATTATGAATTATATCAACTAAAGACATTAAATCAAAATAAAATAAAAGAAGCTATTAGAATTGAGTACATTGCTTACAAATCGATGAATTTTTAATCTAAAAGTTAATGATCTTATGTCTCATAGTAAGACAACCTTTGGCAACCTACGGCTTTTAAATAGTTTGATAAGGTACTGGAACGTAAAGCTCTAGATGAAAAACGGAAGCCAAAAGCCAATTACATTTCTTTAAAAGAATAATTAATAAACAAAGTTGTTACTTTCATGAAGCCTGGAGTCTTTGCGGCAGACTTCTTGCAGAGCCTCGAGAAATCGAGTATGCCTTTGAAGCCTGCTTGAATCACATTTTGATGCATATTCTTGCATACAGCGGAACTGTCCCAATACAATACTGAAAAACAGGAGTGCACAGTTTAAATTTTCTAGTATATTTTGTAGTTTTACAAGATACTAACTTTATTTAGCATTTTACAGTTCCATTTTTATATTTAGTATGTTATTCAATAAAGTAGTAACATCCTTGAGTGAATGCTAATGGTTAGGATTAGGGTTATCTGGATTATCGCAAAGCACGCCGAGACTGCCTGCCTAAAAAGAGAGAGATGTCTTTTTGGAGAGGATTTTAAGAAAAAATAGCTGCCAATGTTACTTATGGAAAAAAACTTGAAATATTCAATACAGCTATTCCGCTTTAACCTGCACCAAACTAATACTTTATCAGAGAATATGATCTTTCCGTTTAGGCGCTAATAGGCCACATGGTATTCAGATATTTTTGCCAGATTAGTCAATATTTAACGTGTAGTTTACCACGATATTTACCAATAACCGAAAAAATACTTTATAAAATGATTGCGATGTAAGAAATTTGATAAAAATTTAACATCCTAAGTAATTAGGCAACAATAACAGAAGCAGCAATAAACACTGCTCCTTTCGCAAGGTAAAAAATAAAATTTTTATCTTAAGATGACGAAGACAGTGATGAAATATTAAATACCAAATTTGTTATATCTTTGAATAATGGATTAACTAAAAATTAATTTTATTATATTAATTAAAACGATGATCATTTATTAATGCGTCGAAGCACTGAATAATAAAGCTATTAGTTGTGCATTGTAGCTTTTTAGTACAGTCCAGGGGTTCTCAACGTTTTCCCCCCGTACCCCCCTTTCAGCACTGATAGAAATTCATTCTTCCCTTTCTTTCAAAAACTTTTGAAACATTTAATTAAAATTAGATTATTTTAACGTGTTTTATTAATTTTAACAATAAATTATTATAATTTTATTAATTATCGTTCTATTTAGTATTAATTAAACTATAAAAGGTATAGAAAATGTTGATAAATACCAATATTGGAATTTAAAAAAATTAATATTCATATGTTGATTAATATTCATATGTTGACGAATATGTTAAATATATTACGAATATGTTAATTCATATGTTGCAATAATTGGAATATTTTATTTATTTTTAAAGCAATTACTTCCATCTTTTTACAGCTGACCACATAATATAGCTAGTTTGGAAATAAATAACCAGAAAGTTTGTGTTTCCATAAACATTTTTGTAATTTAATCCGCTTTGTGGCAAAACTTGTCGTCATGTTTCCACCTTGCGCGCATGATATTTTAAAAATGGCTAATGGTACGTACTTGAAATTTGGATGGAATTCTTTATATGGACACTATTTTCTAACTGAACCAAAAATCTGATGAATATTTTAATATTAAAAAATTTTGTGGATGAAAACATTACAGATTTTTTTAAATAAAATACTTTTTATAAAATCAACTCCAAACAAACTAAAAATTTAACATGAAATTCTTAGAAGGTTTGGTTCACAGTAGTTTCCAAATGTTATAAAAACTATATATTAAATATGGAATTAAATTATGCAACAGAATGTTTTAAACTGTGCGCGCAAGATGGAAACATGACTAAACATTTTGTCACAAAGCGGAGATTATAAAAATATTCGTGGCAACACAAACTTCTTATTATTATTTTAGAAAGCCGCTATATTATGTAGTCAGCTGTAAAATAGTTGGAAGTAATTTCTTTTAAAATAAGTAAGTTATCCCAATTCTTGCAACAGTCACATATTCGAAGATCTTACGTGCTTTAAGGTGTATGAGTCTCCTTAAATTAATAGAGTTCCTTTTTAAGAACTCAGTTCATTTAACACCCTTCTTATATTCTCTGTCGTCTTACTGAGCACGACGATAAGTCGCTTAGAATTCACCTTAAGTTTCGATTTAGTTTATGAATTTCAAGCAGATGAGACTCTACAAACATTACAACGTTACCCGCTTCCTTTGCATTAGCGAAAGCATATATTAACATTCTTTATGACTATAATAAATTTTAACTTTTGTTTAGTTGATAATAGGCTGATCAATAAGGATTTTATAATTTAAATAACTTACGGACATATCTCGTCGAACTCCTCCTCACTTTCTGGAAACTTTTTGAAACCTTCACCAGGGTCACATAATGCATAAGGACTGTTGTCACAATAATCTTCTTCTTCTAGAGCTACAGTGTGAAAAAGAAATAAGCAAAACGGAATTAAGTGGTTTATATTATTTGTTATGTGATAAATATTCCAGTTTACTTTTTTATATTTTACTTTTAAGCTAGCTGCCCAGAAGGGAAAGGGGTTAGTGAACCTGACTGCCTTACCGAAGCACCGGGTTCGAATCCCGAGAAAAGCATGGTTGTATTTGTCCGTCCCTTCATTAGAGGCAACTGTGGCCCTCCTGCTAGGTGCCTCCGTAAAAAAGGGACCACCGTTTGTGGCCTCAATAGTGGAGAACGCCTATGAATGTCCAGACCTCACTTTTTGCGGGGGAGGGGGGATATTTTAAGCTCAAATTCGCATATGACGTAACTAGCAAAATAGCTTTGAAATTTAAGACGCAGTTCGCAAACCCGTCAAAAAACCAGGGCTGTGGAGTCGGGCAGATTTTGGGGTAAAAGGAGTCGGAGCTGGAGTCGCTAAAAACAGGTCGACTCCGACTCCAGTTTTTGTTGGACACTTTGAATTTGAAATGAAATAAAAAATGAATTGAAAGAAAAATTATTGAAAAGCTGAGGTATTATTTTTATTAATGGATGATATACATTAATAAATAGTTATTTTCTATTTTATTGACATATTAATAAATAAATATACGAGAGGAGGATGGACGTGATATTTGCCATTAACGATTAAACTGATTCATTTAGTTACAAATCTCACTGGTAAATTTAGGTAAGCAGCAATAGCAGCAAGAACTCCCAAAATTGATGCCATTCTTAGGAAGCGAGCAAGAAAAGGAGCAATTATTGATCAAGCAAACGCGATAAGGAAGTACATATTTGATGATAAAGAGGTTTTTAGAACTAAGAATGTTTTTAGAAGATGTAGATAACCCTAATGTTTCACTAACAGAAAGACTGTGGAATGATCTTGCAGAATTGGAAACTCTTCTTTCTACACCGTATATAGCTACAAAAAAGCTGCAATCTGAAGAATTGATAGGAGGCGGGAATGGAAAAAGGGGATATTTGATCTTTCTGAAATGGAGGGTTTATTGCAGAAGGAATCATTTCTTCAATGAAGAAAAGATAAACTAGTTTACTAGACAATGAGATATTGCTGGGCTCAGTATATGTAGATCCGAAACACCGAATTTTCTTGGATGGCGAACAAATTAAAAAGGCAAAGAAAGCCACCTATGAACTTTCATTAAGAATGAAATTATTCTCAGGACAATTGGAGAATTCGAATCAGGACAGTCAAACTGCAAACATTGCAATTGAGTCTCTATCATCCTCTTCCAAAGATGAATTAGATTTTGAGAAATATTTTTCGATAATATTGAAAAGTCTAAGGCAAGGCGAAGGAAAAATAAAGAACCAAAAGCCTTTAAATATAAAAATGAAAAAATACAGACAAGATTTCTACACGGCCTTTGAAGAAATAGAAAAATATGATTGCGCTTGCAAGACACTTCTTTTAGAACTTATAAAAATGTCTATCCTGAAAAGTTTAAAAAAGTAAACAGCCCTAACAGTAACAGCTCTTCCTCCTACTCAAGTCAGTGTGCAAGGACTCTTCTCAGCTCTCAAGTTTATCAAATCGGGTCTATATCCCTCCAACAAAGAAGGTCTTGCCGAAGCTATACTGTTTCTTAGAAACAACTAATGCCAGTTTTTACATTTCACAATAAATGCTAATTAATATAAATAATTTGCTATGCTATCAACTCTTTTCTGTACCGTCTATTACTTCTTTTATATTAAAGGAATAAGCTGTAACCCATGTGTATATGTTTACATATACTATATGTATGAGGGAGTCGGAGTCGGTCATTTTTTCTACCGACTCCACAGGCCTGAAAAACCCATTCTGTACATATTCATCAAGAGTAAATTCTTTACCAATTAGATCACTCGTAAAATTGCAAATTTTATATTGGAAAGAAGGACTTGCAAAAGAAATTGTTTTAAAATGTTTGATATTAACAAAGAATCTAAGTACGACAGTAATATTAAAAATGCTATGGTAGGTTTAACTAGATTAGAGTTGTAAAAGTAAGAGTAGCTGGGTCCTACATAAGCACGCAGAATAACAAGCATAGCAAGCGTTTTCTTAAATTTAATGTACATGTGTTACCGATCAGATACGAAAACTAGCATTCTATAGAATACCTAAGTATTTTATAGAATATCCAAAACTGGTCGGCAATCTTTGAAATGGTTAACATTTCGTACATTTCCTAGGCATTCTACAAAATGCCAAGTGACTACCTGGCAAAGTATGAAATACAACTCTGATTCATTTCGAATATCCATGTATTTAATGCATTTGTACATAATTTACATTCATACCATAATTCTATACACATATATTTTCTTACATTACTTTCTTTAATAAGAAAGGCATTAATTTTGTTTTGTTTTCTTTACGCATTTTGAACAAAGTATTCGTTTTAAAAGTATTCGTTCATTAATGTTTTACAATGACATTTGTATTTTGGAGGAATGCACATCTTTTAAGGGGACATGCGACATATCGACTAGCGAAATGCAACTATTTCGAAACAAAAGCTATTTAGGGTATAACTTTTCTCAAAATGAACGTATGCTCTAGATTGTTTTTCATTTAAAATAGACAGCTTGTAAATTATATAAAGCATATAAGATATAAAATAAAAGCCTAATGCTTTTTAAAAACCAGTTGTTTAATTTCACTTACCTTTGACGAATCGTTTGTGACAGTGTGCTAGTTTGGTACACTTCTCTTAAAAAATACTTCACCAAATACTTTCAAATTTTGCATGGTGATTAAACATATACCATTTAAGAAAAATAAGAAGTATTTTACTTGAAAAAGATATTAAAAATAAGCTAGTAAAATGTTTTGAAAATCATTGAAAAAAGCGTCTTAAATTTTTAATATATCCAAAAATGATGATGATAAATTTTATATCCAGCATAGTTTTAAAGAAATAATTAAGATAAACAACTGTGTAAAATGTGAACCTTCCAGGCTGAATAGGTTTCAAGAAGAGTGCATCGAAGTTTAAAAAAAATTGAGAAAAACTGAAATCTTTAAAACACTAATAATTTATATAAACAATATTTTATTATATTCCTGCACCATTCTTCTTGATTTCACATTTCTGCATCTAGGTTTTTTTTGTTATGTTTCTTTCTGGCCATTTTAGAAAGCTTTTGGTAATCGAGTTGGGCCTCATGAATTCAATCAATTCAATCCTTTTTGCAAAGACCTTACCATATAAAATGCTGGTTGTATTCCTAATAATTCCACTACTTTATTGCGGCTTTGTACACCATCATTCAAACAAATTATCGCATCTAATAAACTTAATTTTAATGTGATGACGCTCACACAAACAGTTTCTGGTATGCTTATTCAGATGCAATTATAAAAAGTTTCATTCGTGTTTTGAATTCTTCCATGTATGCAATTTGACAGCAATTTTTTGTCAGAGAGACCTACTTCTAAACACACTTTTAACAACTCATAAAACATGTTCTGGCAAAGAATATTTATGAAGATAATTTTGCCAGCTGATATGGCTTTATTGTTGCCACACCAAGCGTCTGTCCATTCTAAACTGGTGGGCTTGCTAGTGCTTGTAGAGCGGTAAAGACGCTGAGCACTGATAGTTCGGTCCGAGGTTCGCATGCCGCGAACGGGCTGGCTGCATGGGCGTTTTCGTGGTTTTCTCCCATGTGTAAAGTGCATGCGAGCCAGTTTCCCTTCGAAAGTCCTCCACGAAGGCATCCCCTCCCTTTAGGCCTTTTTTCATACTTTGCCTAAAACATTTGCCATTCTACTCAATATATACAATGTCTAGGAAAATTGTCTAAAAATGTCAAGCATTCTATAAAAGGCCTAGGTATTCGATAGAAAGTCTACATTTCATGCATTCCCCCGGTAACATATACATTTCCCCATTTTGCTTTTCCTTTACGTATTCATAATTTTTGCTTAGATTCAGCAGCTGGCTTTATAGTTTTCGGCCATTTTTCAGCGAGTCCATTCGCGAACTAGTGATACTGCATTTTATTTAATATTCAGATACTGTCTTTAACATATGTACTACTATTAGACGTTAATGTTAAAGCAGCTAGCGCCGAATTCGGAATGAAGAATGTAAAGTGCTAAATTTCAGATTGTTTCTGGAAAACTTAAATCTCGATAAAATGAAATGTAAGATAAGGAAGAGCATAAATTTACTTGACGTGTTACATCCGAAAGTTAATACTTTCCATATCTCACGCCTTGCCAAAACAGAGTGATGTCAATTCTTTGATATGCAGTTAAAAGTGTACTTCTAGGAAATTCATAGCTCGATTTCTGCCAAAGTTTTAAATCCACAAAAGCATTCTGCACAACACAACGGCTTTGAAGATTCATGCTTTTGTTACCTTTGGCATTATATTTTAAATATTATTTGAAATAAATATTCTCTGCAATTTTAATATTTTTTGTATTTTTTGTATAATTTGGCTTCAGAAAAAGTTTGATCGCATTATATTACGTATTTTTTTAATAATATTTTATGGATTACATTTAAAAGGAAAATCTCTCGAAAAATGTTTCGTATCCCCTTAAAACGCAAAACATTTGAAATATCTGAAATTAAAAAGTATCGTAATGAATTTCTTCTGTGTCCTTTCCTTTTGGCTTATAGAATGTAAATTACGCGACAACATACGATGATAGCCTGATTATAATACAAATACATCAAATTACTGAGACATTTAAAATGTCTCAGAGATTATTAATTTCTGGGAGTGACGTATGGTGTAACATTGTATGAGAAATTATAATTTTTTAAACATATTTTAAAATTAAAAATAGTTATTTAAATTTTACAGAAATATTTCTAATTGTATTGTATAAACACATTCATTTTAAAAAGGCATTATCTTATAACAAAACGAAAAGTTAACCAAACATTGTTTGCAGGTAATTTCTTTTAAACGTACGGATGATTTTTATTTTATTTGAAGAATTAATTTTATTCATACTACACTTCGGGTCATTTTTTATATATCTGACACACTTATGTTTCACCGTTCCTGACCAATTTTGAGAGAATCGAGGAATTAAATTTACTTATGTCATACCTATTTTATCACGAAAGTAAATTCAGATTTATTAATCATTATTCGACAACAGGAGAAAAATTGTATCAAACATGCGTTACATTTAATATAATTTTTAAATGGGATTTAGAAACATTTAACAAACCCATCGCGGGAATGGTGCGTCTTTGTTCTAATTGTTAATAAACCAATTAAATTGACTTAAGACTTTACTATAACGTCTTCTTTTCACTATTCTCAACAGAATACAAATTAGTTGTTTCTGTATTTAAGCTGAGGCTTTTTATGTTTAGATTAGAGCTTTTGCCAGCCGCGTCTTGCTGTTACTTACGAAGCCAACTCTGTTTAAGTTGTGTTCCGACTTAGTGTCTTACTAGCCAACGTTATAAAATTCATATTGCTAAATGTCTGAGCCAGTTTAATTAGTCTATTTTATGTACAGTCTTCAAATAGGCGCATTTAAATGCAGGCACTACGCTACCTGCATTTAAATTCAACTTTCTGTTATGCTAGTTTAAACAAATACCTGCTAGATAGCGGAAGTTTGTTTGAAGGTCAAGCTTTGAATGTTTGCTCAATTAAAACTTCTGTAAAAAGTTATTTTAACCTTCTTCCAACTTTATAAATGTTTAAGACCCAAGGACTCTTAGCAGTGTCTGCAGAACTTACACACAAGCTTCCAGTTGCAGAAGAACCGTACAAGTTAAAGATACTCGTATATAGATTAAAAAAAAAAATATTTTGTCCATTATAAATTCTACAAAATGCATCAAACCTGCTTCTTAACTGCAAATGTTGATTTATTAAACAACTTATGTCTTACCTGTAGAAGCGACGACCAAAGCGGTTACGATAAGGAACCACATTTTCATACGAGAGTCAATGAGCGAGTAAAATCGACAGGAAATAGCCCGAGTGCTTTATATTTGGGTAACATTAAAATGATTCGTTTTTTATGCACATGTAGTTAAGTTGCGGATGTACATAATCTGTTTCCTTCATAACCTCCCTGCCTTCTTTCCTTCCCTTTTAGCTTTAAGCACAATTAAAAGCTACCAGAAACATTTTTTTCTTTTGAGCGGAACTACGAAACAGTTTCTGACTGAAATAATCTAACCGTTTCCTTAAAGTTCAAAGAAAGCAAATGGAAGAAAAGTAAAACGTAAAAGTAAGAATCTATACACAAATCTACTTCATCAAAGTAGTTTGAAGCACACCAATGTACAGCATTTAATCCAACGCGTGAAACGTCTTCATTACCTTTATTCCATGATTTGAGTCATGGCCGAGAGTATGGAAAACTTTCTGACGCTTCTAGTTTTAGGTAACTTGTTCGACACGCTTTATGTATTCCATCAGGCGTAAACGAACTGGATCAATTCTATTGCAGTCTTTTACTAACTTCTTGAATAATTAAAAATTATTTCTGCTTTGAATATCGCAACATTTTTTTCACTAATGAGGTAGATATCAGTCTTTATTTGAATAGTTCTATTGGAGACTATTTTTAATTTGTCTTATCTATTCGCTTAATTTGTATTTTCTTGAATTTCTTTGAAAAATCGGTTAATGCAGACTTGAAAGGCGAAGATTAAAGTATAGACATTTAAATAGAAACATAACATTAATAGCTCTTGAACAACGATAAAGACCTTTGCTTACTCCTTAGTCATCATTTGGACTGAATGAATATCAATAGGTTGTCTCCTATTGATCCTTTTGTCTTCGATGAACGTTGACGAAGTTAGTTAACTGTGTAGCAACTTAATCGCTGAGTTCAAATAACTAAAGACGTATACTTAATACCCTCTATTTCACTCAATTAAGAATAACAGTTGCCCCCTTTCTTGGGCTTACAACAAACCCTCTATTCGGGCTTTAACTCAGAATAAGAAATAAGAAACTATAACTAAAGGAGACTTAGACGAAGCTAACCGCAAGTACAGGGGGGGGTTATAATTAAAGTGACCCTATTCGGACCACTCTAGAACACGTTCTACTTATTGAATTTTGATGACATTTGGTATATATGTTATCTGGGACATGAGAAAAGCTTTCCGTAATAAGAATAGTTCAAAATTTGACCAACAGGGGGAAGTGTAGCGTCTAAGGAAGGACAATTTTCTCAGAATCATTAAAATTTATTTCATTACAGAATGTGCTCAGTTTGTGCTCCATTGACACCAATTACGTGTTTAAAACGCATTATAGCGTGTTCAATAGTAGCGCAAAGTAACTCTCGAGGGATTTCAGTTTAACTGTTTAGGACTTAGGTAACTGATGAAGTAACTATTTAGGAATTAGAACTTGAAGTAACTGTTTATTAGCTGTTGTGATATTGCGTCTCTTCTGTCGCAACTACAAATGGAAAGTTAATTCACCACCATATCTATACAACACACTAGAAAGAAGAAATATAATTACCAAACTCTAAGTGTTTTTTGTTAGAACCGTCTCTTTAAACGTAGATTGTCGTTTTATTTATTATTTAGACAGAGTTAATTTTTTATTTAATTTTTTTTTGGTATTTTGTTACAGAAACTGAAACACTAGAAGTGCCGGAAAGCAATCACAAGAAATAACGTTGTAGAGTTCCTCACTTTGGAATTCTAAGTTAATGTTGGAAGTGAAGAATCTAAGAACTGATAACAGAATAATCGCTTGCGTTCGGTGACAAGAAACAACAAGATAGAAAGGTAACTAATCCTTTATTATTCCAATAAGGTTTAACAGAACTCCGCCTGGGAGTGTATAAACAAAGCCCGCACTTGCGCTTGAACTTAAAAGACTAAGAATTAAACTAAAACTATGATTAACTAAAGAAGTATAGCCGAAAGCTATCAAGGTTCAAATCGAGTTGCCACCTTAACTTATTTGACTACAAAGCTTAGCAAGGGCCTGACTACGGCCGAAGCGTATTAACAGCTTTGAGAGAAGAGAGTAGCTAAAAAGGCAAACGGGCGTAAATCAGAAACTCGGATTCTCTCTGACTCAGTAACTAACTCGTGGTTTAAATACCGCTTCTCCTCATTAAATATTCAGCAAGATTCCAAAACTACGTTCTGGCCGGAAGTAGTAAGTTGAAGTTAAGAATTTGACAGGAAAGGAACTTTAACTTAAAATATAACTGTTAATAAAATTAACATAATCCTTACAATGTGATAATTAGAAAAATCTTACTAGTTAAAAAATGAATAGTTAGGTCGTACAGAAGTGAATGACACAAATGCTGCCACAGAGCGGAATACAATTTATTAACAGAAAACTGATAGCATATCAGTTAGAAAATCCTCCCAAATCAATACACTTCATCCATCTGGCTGGGAGGTCCTGAAGGGCTTGGGTAAACCAGTCTGTGGGAATGTTGGTGCATCATCTATTGATAATTGCATGCAATTCGGCAGAAGATTCAACATGTTGGCTCCTGATTGCGTCCTTCATGTTGTGAAGTAAGGCGTAGTCCGAGGTCTTGGTTCGAGGTCCGATTCCACCCACTTTGCACACACATTTGTCATCTCCAAATCACCATGCACAATCGCCTGCAATGTTCCTTGCGCAAGCCCTGTCTCTTCCTGCATCTTGTTGAACGTTAAACACCTGTTCGCCGTGATGAAATCTGACACGGCTGCCACATTTGCTGCTGTATGCTATGTTGCTGGTCGTCCGCGTTGACACCTTTGGCTGCAGTTTCCACTCCACTGCTGAACGTGGCCAACCAACAGGATATGGTACACCTTGATGGTGCTTTGTTCCCGCACACCGACACCATACTGCAATGGATCTCATTACCCTGTATCCCTTCCTCCCATAGAAACCAGGCTGTCCAACGCTGACCGTGATAATAACCTTCCATCATTGCTTCCACGCTCTCAATGATGAAGGCGAAAGGGACTGGCCGTTCCATTTTGCCTTTCTGACGTATACCTTTCTCGTCTTGCAGCCAGGTCCATCTGTGCATTCTGAGTAGCTCACGCCCCCTTGTGTCTATTTCACTTGTTTACCCTTCGCATAGTGTAATAGTTTCGTTGTGAGACCCTTGTGTCAATTATTTCTGTACGATCCAAGTAAATCTTACAAAATAAAAGTAAACGACTTCAGTGGTTTAAAATATTGACTGCATATTTATGTGGCGTTAAATCCAATACTACAGTGGTTACAAGTTAGTTAGAAATTGCCATATGCGTTATTTCTCGGGGTTCCTAAAATGTCGATGTTCTTAGATTGATACTTATGTATTATCTCGTAGCCCATGAAACTGTCGCCAAGTAGCAGCATCGATTTTGCATAAGCGTGATATAAAAACATACTCATAAAATATGCGCTTTCGATCGATGTAATCCAATTGATTCTCGATCAGCTACCTTTTGTTTTTTTTAACAAGGGTTTGGTGTATATGATTACGGCAGAGCTTCGAGTGACTTCGAGGACGTGGACTGGAAGGAAGGGAAACTGGCTCGTATACAAGTTACGCATGAGGAAAACGCTTATGCAGTCAGCCCGTTCGCCGGATTCTAACCTCGTACCGATTCACCAGTGTTCATCGACTTTACCGCTTGGCCGATGGTAGCTTTTTAACAAGGGTATAAATTAAATGTTATTGCAATAGTTTTCCTTGCATTTTGAAAAAAAAAATTAAATTGTGCAAACTGTCGTGTACAAAACTACAATCAGTGGTTTATTTGAAAATTTATAAGATCCAATAACCAAAAACAAAATGTGCAAGAATAACACGATATGGTAAGTTGAATATGGCATACAAAACAGCAATAGATTGAAAAATTACGGAATTTTATGCTAATAGCGTTCTAAATAGACTTCCCTCTATAAAATTGAATGGCTTGACAAAATAATAGAAGCTTTTTAAGGAAGGCAAAAAGGAAAGCGGGTCGAATATTGACTGTTTGAAAGAGGGCTAGCTCCTTCAGAATTTCGTAGGAATTATCGGCGCAATTTTGGGGAGATCCCCGCCAACTTTCGACGGGATAATTCGTTAGTACTCTTTATTTGTTAACATAGAACAAGAGTCAGTGCATTTTACATTTATGTACGCAATAATTTGATAGTGCTTTATATTTCTTGTTCAGGCAAAATAATATTATTTCTTCATAAACATACGAATTAACTATAAAACATCACTATAAACATTCTTCATAAACATACGAATTAACTATAAAACATCACAGCGGGACAAAAAATTGCGACAGAAGAGGAGCAGAACAAAATGTCTTTCGCACAAAACATTGCATCGTCATCTTAATTTATGCTTACTACGAAAAAATCTAACTGTCAGAGAACACACCGATGTAAAGTTAAAAATTAAGCAAACAAGAAACTTTAATTCGATGTAGATTAGCAATGAAATTCGATCGATTTCGAGAAGAGAACTTCGCTCCTCTCTTTCAGCTTCAGAAAGAATTTTGCAAATTTTAGTACGTTTGGTTTTCCTTCTGAAGAAGAGGAAACTTTGAAATAAGATTTTTGTTCAAAATCTATACCAAATTAAGCTGCTTTTCCTGATTTTAAAATAAAAGTCATCAATTTATTTTGATGACCAAGTAATAGCAGAATCATCTTCCTCCACCGCATATATAAATTTGCAAATTAAAAGGTTAAAGAAATATGCGAAGTAAATTTATAAATTTACGAAGGAAATTTACAAATTATGGATACAAATTTATTATTTTATTTAGAAAATTGTTACGAAGTAAATTTGCAAAAGAAAATTAATACTATATCAATATGATTTAACAGTAAAGATTATCGTAGAGACAGTTCAGATTGGATTAGTGCATCATTTTATAGGGTAATATATGAAAATGCATTTAGACTGTCTTTGCGTATTAGATGAATCTTAGGAACGTTACATATTTTCTCTATATTTAAAAAGTGAAACTATGTAACACAATTGTGTAAAAATACTGAATATTTTTAGTTCGATACATTATGAAGTCACTGTACTTTTATTTAAATCAATTG